ACAGTTCCTTTGGGGCATCTTTGTCCACTATGATGCCAATATTGCCAAGCTCGCCCTCTTGTACCACTACTACTAGTATTTGTGTCTCTCACCCCATCTGTTTTCATCATTTTCGCCTTAGGCATTTCTGGTGGAACTCTCTGTTACATTATAAAAGATAAGCCCTATTTGTTAAAGAAAAGAAAAAAATTGTAATGTTGGTACTACGCGGTAAAATAAGAAAAGAGGTAGTTGGTAGTTGAGAAACTAATTGAAATCATACCATAAAGTCATTTTGCGTTACGTTTCCTCAAATAAAAGGCATTTTTTTTAACGCGAATGATGGAAAGTGTGTGTAGGGTGTGTGGCTATGTGTCACTTTATGAGTTTTGAGGAGTCTTTTACCTGGATCTTGTGATTCTTGAGAAGTGGATGATCTAGAGCTGGCTGTTTTCTCTTATGAACACAATCGATGATATCACCATCTGGGCTCTGAAAGTTAAAACCATGAAATTAAATTGTGATACCACATCATGCAAGAAATAAAGATTAAGAAAACAATGTTTTTAAGAAGAATGAATTAGGTAGCATATGTGATGTACTGTACCTCGATGGTGTAGACGGCAGGCTTGTTGATCTTCTTCAAATGCCTTTCAATCCTAGCCAATCTCAAGCTACTGACTTGTCTATATTTTGTCACATTCAAGCTAGCTGAATTATCAGCCAGAGACCTTTGGGAGAAAAAGACAAGCTGGAAGAAGAAGAGGAGCAGCAGCAGAAGAAAAGGATCAAGAACAAGAGCTGCCGAAAACTCTCTCCTATTATTCCTCCTTAGCGAAGAACAAGTGCCCATCTCATTCAGTGCCAGGAGAGAAAGAAACTCTGAGGAAAACTACAAAACCATAACTAGGAAAAAACAAATATAGCTGACCAGTTCAACAAACACTCCTCTTAATAACCCCCCAGAAAAGGTCCCAACAACAAATGCAACTCAGAAAATGACCCCTACTAAATACATCCAAGCTGGTGACCTGACCCCCTTGCCTCCTCTCTTTCTTTCTTGATCTCTCTTGAGGGGGTGAGGCAGATGGAGAGGGTGGTGGGTGGAGGACAATTAAGAAAACTGCTCAAGACAGTAACACAAACCCCAACAAGAAAAGAAAGTTACAGCAACAGGATAATCATCATGATTGTTTTTGCAGCAGCAGCAGCATAAATATACTAGTACACCTCGCTACATGGGAAGGGATTAGTGAAAGGTAGTAGTAACATTTAATCAGCTGTTAAAATTTGTTTTTTCCTAAGAGTTGCTGCAAATGCAATAGTGCTGGTGCTGCACTGGGATTTCATTGCTTGCACCATCAAGAAAGTTCAATAAGGGGGGATATTCAAAGCCATTATAAACATCTAGACCTAACTCCCTCCCCACCCCAACAGACCCTTCTTTTATTGCACCTTACTGGCACTTGATTATATGCATCTGCCTCCCTGCCACCACACAATCTTCGCCATTAATATTCCTCTCCAAACGTCACACACCCTTCCTTTAGGCATAGTCCCTTAGTCCTTACCCTTAAGTTGCACCCTTTCTTTTTAGTCACTTGGATTGGATAGCTTCTTTTGCTTTCTTTCCTTCCTTCCCTCCCTCCCTCCCTCCCTCCCTCACGCCCTACTTGTATTTTCTTCATTTCTTTAGGTTTTTACTGGTGAGATTTGTGTCACGCACACGTGCCCCTGTCTTTTAATTTTGTTTAGCAGAAATGCTTGGTTATGATAATCTTCTTTTTTTTTGGTTAAATGTTAGTATTAAACAATAGGATAGGAACAATTAATGCGAGATTTCGGACACAACTCATTGTGAAAACTACCTGCATGTGATAGTCAAATTGGGGGCCAATTCTATCTTGAAGACTTGGACAGCTCTATTTTCATTTACAGCGCCTCTAAAATTAAAAAGCCAAGTGCATGTACCTTCACATTCAACTTGAATTCTTATTGCAGTTCTTTTGTAGTTATAAAAAGTTATTGATTTGCTTTGTAGTTTGTACTGCACAATTTTTAATCACTTGCAGTTGTAAGCAAAATTGTAGAAGAGATTAATGAGGACAGGCCCACAAGTGATTTTAGTGATTTGTAACTCACAAGTCAATGCATGAAACTCATGCTTTGGTCTATCATCTCCTCCTACATGTTCACTGATTTTATGATTTGGTGTATATTTCTAGTTTAGGATGGAAATCTCCAAGATGGCAGCCAACCGGACTGAAGTAGGGTTTAAGAAAAAGAAAGAAAGCATTTCTTTCTTTTCCTTTAACCCTACTTCGGTCCAGTTGCCAGTAGGTCACAAGCTGAACATTCTCCCTCGTGTCCCCTTTGGTTGGGGGGTTGGGACCTCTTTGGATAAATTTCATTCTCTGCATACTTTTCTTTACCTCAAATTTACGTATGGGACTGAACGTAAGATATGTTGCTGTCTTTGAGTTACGTTAAGATTAGATATTATAATCATATACAACTAAGTATGAAAAAGATATCTCCACTGCCTAATCATGAGAATTCTAACATTAAAAAGTAGTAGGAAAGAATGCAGAAATGACTAATGCTGGCCCACTTATTAATCAACATAACATGGCAACTGATGATGCATCTGATGTTAATGCTATATTATCTTGTCTACATCCTGAGTCAAATTAAGGTTTATGCAATTCTTCTAGGAGGAAAAGTTTTTTTAAAAAAAAATCCAAAAAATTTAATAAGCGATTAAGATTAATAAATAAGAACAATGAAATGGGGTGGTTCTCCTAGCTTGTATTTCTACTGCCTTGGACGAAACAATTGAGGATATATTCAGAATTGAACTCTAAACATTTAGATATACTGGACTTTATTGATTTATCTGCACTTTTTTTTTCTTATGAGTATATCATCATGCGTTATATGTTGAATATACTTTTGAAATATAAATAATCTTTAGTTACATATACACAAGGAATTAAGCATGTTACCAAACTGCTACCCCGAGCACATGCAATGGAATCGTAGACAGTCATGTGAGATCGATGTCACCCCTTCAATGTTTGCAGTAGATCTACCTTTCTTCTTCGTACATAAAAATCCTTTCTTCTTCATACATAAAAATCGATGAGGAATCATCTATGGCACCAAAAAATTTTAATTCTTTTTTGAGGGAAAAATAGAAATTAAAGATCTTTGAACCTCATTTTCAAACTAATAATAATAGTAATACTAAAGAATCTTTAAACCTAAGAAGCTATATATCCTAGCAGTGACGTAAACTAATGATAATTAATTGTCGAAGTATATATATTTTTTTACTTCACACATGTCAAATCGTTACAAAAACTTCAGAAAATAGCAATTTAAACAAGGTCTAAAGTTTATTTGAATGCGAGTTTTCCTAATTAAGGACTTGAAACTTCTAAGTTTTAAACACCAAATGCACAAGATGCGTGGGGTGAGAGAGACATGCTCCCTTAAAAGTTGGGCAGATTGTAGGACATGCTCCGGGCATCGAACAATCTAAGCTGTCTTATATGCGAATACAAGTGCTAATTAATTAATCCTATTACTAAGTTAAATGTTTATTAAATTCTGGTACCAGTGGTTTGGGCTTCCATTCTCGAATCTCGATTGCTGCAAATTATTTAGGATCATTAATAATGCGTCAGTTTCTTATTCATTCAACAAAAAACAACATTTAGAATTTTAGATTGTCAGCTTCTTTAACTCCCCATCAAACCTGAAAGTCCGGAATTTGACCACCCCACAAGTTTTGGTGTTCTATATTAATTTCATCCAACTTCTTCCACAATAACGATCATGAACGTTGAACACCAAAATGGTGCTGCATTTTGCTATGGACCTTACCTCCCTCACGTGAAGGATGATATAAATGCACTAACATTCGTTGACAAATCGATCGGTATTGCATCATAACTTCTTCTCATCTGCTGACCGTTTAAACTCTGTTTTAATGGATGAGCTCAGTAACTTTTTGCAACTCGTAGATACTTAAGAACATGTAATTTCAGTTAACTCATGTCGAATGAACTTCAAATGATCATTTTTTGTCCCTACAAATTTGATAAAAGAAAAAGTAAAAAAAAAAAAAAAGAAACTTTTTTTCAACTACTTTCATATCGTGAGGATTGTTAGGCCGAGTGTGTATGTCCGCGCAAATAAAGATCTGTTTCCGTCCTCAAACGAGATTTGGATGATATGCCCATTCCAGACGCTACAGCAGAATTGAGCGAGACGGAGAAATGCGAAACGGGAACAAACAAGGGAAAAAGTGTTCACAAGACTGGAAAAGAAAAATGGTTTACAACATTATTCAATGATTCTTCAGAAATTGCTGTAGCCGAAGCAGAATAACGCTTGAATCACTGAGATTGGCTCAGTGGCCACCAGAGACGGTCTTAAGTCCCCTTTTAGACTGTAGGTCAGGGTTCAAATCCCATCTACAGTAAAAAAAAATTCAAAAATTGTACCAAAACACTCCCTTGATCTAGTAAAATCTATGTACCTGCTAGCTCTAAACACGGCCTCTTTAGACTCCCCTCCCCTGTAGTCTAGGATACATAGGTTATACAATAGTTGTCATCTCCGGAAAAAAAAAAAAAAGCAGAACACCGCTTGGCCTTTTTATTCCTTGCTACCTATAAGCTGCTACTTCCTTTGATGAGCAACTGAGCATTTTTTTTTTTTTTTAATAGAGGAGCAGCTGAGCATGACTACTGCAAAATCAACCAGATTTGGGCAAACTGGAGCACCGAAATAGGTACTTAGCTTACCAGGCAACTGATCACATATGCCAACTCCCAATGGTACTCTTGTAAAGTACAAATTACATTCTGCCAGAAACATACACAGTGTCATGCATATTGAATGCTGAAGGGAAACCCAGAAAATTAAAGATTTACCAGAATGCAACTTTTCAGTAGAAAATTTTGTTAAGCAGCTGCCGTGCTCGGAAAGACAAGAACGTGAATAACAAGATAATACTGAACAAAGCAAGCATAACAAAATTTTTCTTATGAATCAGTCAGATATAATGTCAGATGCGGTGAACCATTGCTCTGATACCTTCAGTCCCGAATTCTTTCAGAATAAATGACACCATGTATCCAGTTGGTATTGCTCCTCTGTACATTCACATATAAAATACAAAATACCTCCTAATCTTACACATTCAGGCTAGTCTGGCTCTTCAATTCCACTCGGGTATTACACCACCACATACATCCAACACTTACTACTAACCAATTTAAAAATGACAGTCATCTTGAGCCATTCACTATTTTACCATGTTCTACAAAATTTTGAGGTCTCGAGAGTTTAAAATAAAAAAAAAAAATCTCATCATATAAACAATTACAAGATGGATGGATGACCTAGCAATGAAAATTCTTCATATATAAGAACCTCTTTTGTGGCATGTCTATGTGCATACGTTCCTCTAGCTACAAAAAACTGCCATGAAAGTCCCAGGCTCCAAAATGAAGGGTTTTGTTCTCTTGAAACAGCAACTCAGCAGAGCATCAATTATGATCCGCTTCCCATTTCATCTTCACTGTTGTCACTTTCGTCGCTGCATTATCATACCGAGGAATTACTCTTTCAAGAAATACTTATAGCAAATCAAATGTATCATTATTGATTACATGCACTAGGAAATACAAAATAATAACTCTGCTGAGGTGGCTTCTAGAATTTGCAGATAAAAGTATAATCTCCAATTTTCATCATAACAGAGGTGCCTTTGAGCTCTGGCAGATTAACAAAAATTGAATTCATTGTCAAGTCTAGATATTGGACATTGCTTCTGAGGTTTAGTGGAACAACCAAAAGGAGCATAAATTTGTTTGGCTGTTTTGAACTCCATGGTTTCGGATACCACTGTTCAGAAATCAATGTGTTGGGGGGGGGGGGGTAACACAAACCAACCAACAAATCTTAAGATCACACATCGAGTACATGGCATAGTAAAAGAAATAGACCATTAAGACATCTAAAAACTACAATTCGTACACCTTTCAATGCATTACCTGTTTTCAGAAAGCTTTGATATCCGTCTAGCATCCAAGCCAGTGATAAACTTCTGTGCAGCTTGAATATTTTCTGCACCTGAAACACAACAGAATGAGCCATTAGAAAAAGTAGCTTTCTGACTGGCTGAAACACTGCAGAAAGGTCAAGCTACGAAAAAAGCCAGCCTCCTAATTATTAGAAATGATAAAGATATCTAACAGTACGACAAAACTTTTACCCCTTGCCAACTGGAAAGCGTGCAGTGCACATCTCTCTGCAGCCAGTCTCACTGGAGTATTGCCATCCCTCAAACACTCAGCAAGCACCGGGCCATATGTTGCAGCATGAATCATAAGTGCAGCTGGATTAGCCTGCCATACAACGTCAAAATTTATTTTTTGTGGAGTACAATTAAAAAGTTCTGTTCTACAGAAGGTCTCAAGTCAAATACGAACTTTGGCAACGGCTTTCAACGAACATAAGGAGCGTCTTCTAACTTCACTCGAGTCATCTTGCATTGCCAATATGATAGAGGATAGAGTTTCCAAATGAGCAGAGCTATTAGAAGGATCGCTCCGGATTTGATGAAGCAAAAGCTTTCCCAGTGCTCTTGTTGATGTTTCACGAACAGGAAACTACATGGAGTACAAGCATCAGACATATACGACAAAATACAGAAAAGAAACTATTATATCAAAGGAAGTTTCACGCTTTTAGCTATTAGAAGTTCCAATAATGTTTCAGGTTGCTCCTAGTATTTCATGTAACATATGTTTTCAGTCACTTTTTCAACCTCAAAATTTCATCCCTCCCAGCCCCAGGAGAATTCAGGGAACTTCAAATGGAGTATAACAGCCGCAGGAATTTAAAGCTTTCTAATTATAGATCGTCCAGGGTCCAATGTCAGAGTCACAAGTCAAAATTGCAAGGCAAGAATCTCAATAGAAACTTCTAGGTGCAAAGTGTAATTTAAGTTTCAAGAAGATTGGAGATACCTTTTCATCTTTCAAGTTACTCATCAGAGAATTCACAACCATTGGGAATGATGGAGAGGCACAAACAATGGTGGGGTTATGCCTTAACAAGGCAGACAAGGTAAGAACCGATCCGTGCCTTGTAAACCAGCTTGGAGATGATGCTGAAGTTGGGAGTTCCTTCAGCACTTCAGAAATTTGATCATCTTCCAAGTACTGTAAAATGAAGTTTGCTCAGCTAGCATCAAGAATAGACTTAAAAAAGGTCAGGAAAATAAACTGAAAAAGATATGGAACTTGGAAGGACACTTAAATTTCGCAAGTCGTATGTCATTACAGCACACAGAAAAGGAAACCATAATACATGGAAGCTGATCTCTGAAACTATTTAGCCAAGCAGAAGACACTAATTTCTTAAGTGAATTGGGCAATGATGTACTTGATATAATCAAAATGGTACGAACTATCCTCAGGAATCTCACACTGACCTGAGAAATAATGCCAAATATGCTAGCAGAAGAGCTTCGTATCTGATCATCATCATTGTAAATTAAATCCTTCAAAATCGTATAGATGCGTGTTCTAGCAGCAATTCCCACGCTTTGACCAGCATGTTTGACCACACCTTTCAGAGCTGTCAAAATTGCCTCGCGAACTCCAACATCTGATGTCTGACCAGTAACAATCCAGCTGGTAATCAGTCATTTAGCTACACAATCAATAAACTACAACAAATAAAAACACAAGTTATACCTGCAAACCAGATAAGAGATCACCCACTAAGGGGTCAACTCGAGGGCTAAGTGCACTGAGCTTCCCAAGAGCAAGGGCAGCACCTGAACGGACAGTCCTACAATTTAAGCAGACAAGCATGATTTAAGGACAAATACCGGTGATTAATTGTGACAATGTAACCAAACAAGACTCAACAACTTACTGAAAAGTTAGAGAGTACACAAGCACTACATAAATGTGCTCATCTTTAAAAAAATGTCAAACCTATGATACTGAACAATCTAAAATGATAATAAGTGGAAATGGTGCTTGTTACTAGCAAACCTTGTATTGTCCTGCAGACACTTGATAAAAGTCGTTTGAAGCTGAGGTAGGAAAGGTTTTAATGCCATCCCACCTTTCCGTATTATGATGCTAAGAGTCGAAAGAATAGCACTCTTTACTTGCCAAGGGAATCGATCACCTATTATACGAATCAGAGGCCTACATAGTGCAAATTTACCAAAATTAGAAACCAGCTCCTTATTCAAAGTATTACGTTTAATCTAATACGGAGAATATATTCAACCATAACACATTTAATTACAAGGTAATGGAACTAATCAACTAGAGAAAGTACATGTCAATAGAAAAAGTAAAGTGCAACTGGTCTATATCCAAAAGGACGGATTAAACCTTGAAATTAATTTGTACGGAAGAGTAATAAGCCCCTAAATTCACCTTACACATTTAAAATGACATGTCACAAGCTCATTATTGTTGTATACATCCAGCAGAATAAAAACAGTCCATTTATTTTTTCTTTGTATGATCATGGCTTTAGAAAGATTTATATGACTTTCTTCTCCTTCATATGTATATATCAGATAAACATGCAACAAGTACATAAAGATATGCTATGCATAGAGGATAATTATCGCACTCCTGAATCAAGATCCATTTGGCTTTGTATAAAATATCAAAGGAGTGGACCTTTATGGTTTCTCATCCACTCTTTTATCACCAACCAAACTAACCCACTCCATTGAGCAACCCACAAGAAAGATAATTACCCCATGAAAAAATGCTAATAAATAGTTAGACTTCCATTAAAATATAACTTTAAAAATGTCCAAATAAGATTAAAATGGAGATAATTCCTTTCTTTTCAACTTTTAAGTTGGCAAAAGAATTTACAGCATTAAGTTGGCAGTGCAATTGCCAAAAGAATTTACAGCTTTAAGTTGGCAGTGCAGTTGCTAAGATGATCAAGTGGTAACCTAGTTCCAAGTTTCAGGAAATCTAACCTTCTCAATGGTTATCATGTTGATTAAGTGTATACACAAATTAAAAGGCGAAATTGACATAAATCCACTGTGACTTTGAACTGGGATGCCACTCATACACAGCAACTACCATGGGATTGAACTAAAAAGCAATTAACTTGCAAGAAATTTGAAGCAATTAAATACCGCTGTGAAGCAAGAAGAGTTACAGTCATACACCAAAATGAAAGCAAAGCAGAAGTTTAACAGTCTTTTTCAAACAAAGTCTAGAATTCCCAACAGTAGTAAAAAAGTACTGGGTCAGGGGGGTTTGGTGAACCAACTGGTCCCATTCTGATTGGTATATGATGAGAGAAAGCGGTAACATGACACCCAGATCACATTGAAAGAACTAAGCTAGTGCTGATGTCTCTCTTTTGGAGGGTATAACAAAAAAAGGATAAAAGAACGACCACTGTACACGACATCCTTTCACATATCATGGTACTTACCCAGTGATTGGGATTACAAACTCCTTCAGAGTTTGTTCGCTTGTAACTTCGATTAATTCCCCGAGACCCAAAGCAGCTTGTTCTCTTAGTTCAGCTGATCCACTTATAAGACCCTAAAAGGTATTTTTTGTAGCAAATGGATCAGTAAGGATAACTGCTTTATCTTGAAAGGCATGAGCAGATTAAGGGATCACAAAAGAATCTCATCAAGTAATCAAAGGGGATGATACTTATCACCACATATTAGACAAGCTAAAACATTATTACAGCAACCAAATAATCAATTTTCTTCAAAACCTGTTCAATTAGAGCTGTGTGCCGTGTCACGATCCATGATACTGAGTGACCATGCATAGGATCATGTGAGCATGAGCATATTTTGATTTGAGCTTTTATATTCAAGACATTTTAAAGGTATCAATTTGTTGACTTAATTCAGATGATGTCAATTGTAAAATATATATAACATTAGCTGGAATACCTGAAGAAAGACTGGTAGCAATGGCTGAAGAGCTTTTGGGAGACAAAGTCCAGGTATAACAACAGTACCTCCCTGCATCACAAATTAAAAACATACGCCAAATTGGTAAACGAGCTTGCACGCAGAAGCACTGCAAAAATCATCAATATTACAGCACAAAGCATGAAGTGTAAGTCTGATCTCAAGTATGAAAATAAATATGTTCACCTTCTTCTTTCTACGTTCTTTATCCCTAGAGGTAGATACAGCATCACGGACTAACTTTATGTATGAAGGAAGAACCTCTTTAGGTATGGAACTTACTACTTTTGACAAAGCTTCCCAAGCAACCTGACAAATTCATGGTAAGATAGCATCCTAAATGAAGTCTTAAAAGAAAGCTTAAAACTCAGAAGACTACCATAACAGTCTGGGAATCTGTGTCACTTAGCAAAATAATGAGGGTGGATATCATATTTGGAGCTTCATCAACCAAGTATAATTTGCTATTTTTGAACATGTAGCCTATTAGATATGATGAACATCGTCTAATTGAAGCCTGGACATAAGAAAAACAAGTTAGGACAAAAGAGATGTTTCTGAGGGTGTAAACAAATGTAAGGAGAAGCAAATAAACCATAAGACATGCCTGGCTGTCCCCAACTCCTTTTACAAGCTCAGATATCAGAGATTCTATGCCTTCCTCATCAATAACCAATACAACAGTTTCAGCAGCCTGCTTAGCCAAATTGCGAACATCCTACGGTAGCAAAATAACTTAAAAATCAATAAGGTAGCCAAAATGCAATAAAGGTCAATAATCAAAGAATGGAAACAAAGAGACTAAACACAAGTATATGGCGAGGATGACAGATATGGTGAAAAGCTTGCACGTAACATGCAAAGTGACATACCTCGTTGGTATCAGCCATTGCAGCAAGTAAAGGAGGAAGAATTGTACTTAGGTGAAAGTCAAGACCAGGACCGGCAACATCTGCTAAAGCTCCCAAAGCATGTGCATTGAAGGCACTGGAGGCATTCAAATTGTTCATCATCAACCGAGGTATTATACATTAATTGCCACAAGACAAAATACAAGTATCAATATATGTACATACGTAAGTGGAGGATGGACAAGCTTAGGAAGGATATGAGGAAGCACAGCCGTGGTTCTAACACTGCATAGAACAGCAAATAGATTCCATAATAACCAATAAAAGCTGTGAATAGACTGCCAAAAAAAAAGCAGTTACAAAAGATTGAAAATCAAACCTCAAAATTTGTTTCAGTCCATCAAGTGCAGTATCAGAGGTTTGATCGTCCTCAAGAGCACGAAGTAGAGTAGGGACGATCTCATCAATTGCTTGCATTCCAGCGCTCTACAAGTAAATATGATAAACTTTAATTTCTCAAAGTACAACAGATTTAAAATCACTGGGAAGAACAAGGCACAAGGACAGCATACCTTATAGAGCGTGCTAAAAGCTAAACCAGCGGACTCACGAACCTCAGGCATACTATTCAAGCGGCCAAAAAGAAACTCAGATAATGAACAAGAAAGAAGAAAATTACCACTACGCACAACAGCATCACTATGATGAGATCATGAAGTACCTGTCACAAAGGGCCGTCCGGATAGTAGGGATAAGTTCATCCATGAAACTAAGTAGCTGGCTCTTGCCGGCACTGGCCATGACCTCACTCAGACCAATGCAGACACCCTAAAGATACCAATGGAATCAAGCATTAGAAAAGGTAAAAGATCTAGTAAAACCACACTGAGATCATGTCAATGAATAGCAGTACACAAGGCTGGGCGATACATAAAAGAAGAAACCACTACACTTATCTACTGATTGGGATGTACTAATATACATCAATTGTTAAACTATCAAATATTGTAGGTAAATCTAGCCTTTTTCTTATTTCCTTGAGTTAAAAATCTACATAGATATAGAAACTGCACAGTTACATTACCATGATCCTTCAGATAAAGTTTATCTGGAGCTATAAATTTTATCAAATCATTCACACACTGTTAGTAAAGGTATTCATTCTGTGGTGCAGCCATGCAGGTACATGGCTGTTGTCTTTGGAACCAGGCAAAACAAAGTTATCCACCATTTATTAACAGAAATCGTAAACAAAGATCAAAATCAAATGGAAGTCCTGATAATTTTGGTCACTAAAGATGGTTCAGGAACTTATAGAAAGGAAAAAAGAAAGGGGGGGGGGAGCGGGAGGGAATATGAGAAAGAACAGAAAGATTATTTAGAGACAAACAAAGTAAAAGGATGCAGAAACGTGTAAAACACAAGCCTCACCTGTCTCCTACTAGGATCAGGGTCATTTAGCCCCTGAGATAGAATAGGGATGATTAAAGGAAGCACTCTTTCCCCAAGCTTCCTAACAAGCTCACCCAACGATCGTCCGGCAACCTACAAAGTCAGAAGAAATATCAGATTTTTCTTTCAAATGTCTCACAATCAGATCAATGTAAATCTCTAAACTGAGCAAAAGATTCTGAGCAGAACAAAGAACCTGTCTTCTTTCAGAGGATGATGAAGCAAGAGAACAAATTAAAGTATTCATCAGAACTGGCATTATTTCCTTCAGGGTTTTTGGAGTATTTGCAACTATAGTCTTCCAAACATGCAATGCAGCCTGAGACAAGAGAGTAATACCATTAATATAGTCATTAAAATCTAAAAAGAAGGCAAAGTCCAAGTGGACTAACTAATTTATTTTGATACTATAATCACCTGACGGACTGTAATGCTGACATCGGTTCGAACCATATATAGAGCAGCAAGAACTTCGTTACGCTTATCCCTACCGAGTACCTCGATGATGGCTCGTCCATGTGCTTCAGTGCTAGCACCTTCATCATCACTACCACCCTCAAGAAGTGCTTTTCCAGATGTTCCAGCAACCTAGGTGACAGTTAAAAAATAAAAAAGAATAAGGTGGGGTCCACACTAAAGGCAACAGTGCAAAGATAATGATTATTACCTTAAACAAGAGATCACCCAATAATTCAACAGAACTTTGCCTAATTCGCCAACTATCAACATGCACAAAGTCATGCACATATTTTCTCAAAACGTATGACAAATTATCATCGTGACTGCTCAAGTATGCATTTCCTAAAATCAGCCTCCTAACTGCTGATCTAAGAGGATCAGAGGCCCAAGCAGATTATAGCTATAGTTTTGTATCAGCTCAAGTTCATTTCTAGAGTAATCAAGCACAAATTTCTGATCAGAGGGATAGAAACCATAACATGAATGACCAATCTATGGATGGTTCATATGAAGCCATCTGCAAAGTATACTTCTAAATCATATGAAGCCATCTGCAAAGTTTAGGAAGAAAGAATCAACTATTCTCTCAGTTGCAGATGGTATTTTCCCCTTAATAGGAAAGACCAAATCAAGCAAGCAACATGTCAATCGGTCACTAATTTATGACATGCAAGATAAGAGAGGCAACATTGACAATCACAGTGAGACAGAGAGATAGATGCATTGTGTGTGTGTGAGAAAAAAGAGAGAGAGAGATAGAGTCAATATGTGGGTACCTCAAGCCCAAAAGAGAAGAACAAAAAGTCAAGAAGCAAGCAGGGTGAAAATAAGAAATGGTAAACGCACTGAAAAAAATAGGGATGTTATGCTTAGCTTAGCTCAAGTGATGTAAAGGAGAGGAATTGAGGTGTGCAGAAGAGGTAAACTGTGGAGAAACAATGCATAGAAGTGGTATGCTTATTGATAAAAGGATTGGAGATCTTAGAAACTTCACACTTGAATGGTAGTGTTCAAAAGTTTTTTGAAATTAAGAAGCTGACCACTTCACTAAGGCTTTATACTGATTTCCACTGAGGCAGTGATAGAACATTGAAATTAAAATTACCATATATTAATGAAACATAGAAACAAATTTTAAGACTCCAACTGTACAATTATTTTGTAGTTTTTGTCAATATGCAGCCGTGGACCAACTTTGAACTGGTAATAAATACTTTCGGTTCCCTTCCTTCTTGACAGCAAGAAATGTTATCTTACTAAATAAAGTATTAGGAAGAAAGTTCTTCAGCCATAAATAACAAACAGAGAATAATAGAAGTATCTTCAGTGATCTATAGATCAAGTCGTGTGTCTAGAACACATTAATTAAGTATAATGAAACATGAGGCCCTGAAAAGGGACTGGTACGTTTATTGCCATTTATATTTCTTTAGTCAAATTCTCGATAAGAATTGACAAGACCAAAATTTCCAACGTTTTCAAAATTCAGCATTTTCAACGTGTCTCCAAGCTGGCATTACATGTTGCAATACACTCCCTTGTATCCAAACTTATAAAGAGTTTGATGTCTTAGTTTGGTACATGGCAGCTAGCAATAAAGAGTTTCATGTATTAGTTTGGCACATGACAGCTAGCATTCTTGATAGACATCTATCTTTGTATTCCCACACTAGATGCATCAGTATAGACGGGCAATTCTAGTGTGACAATGTAAAACTCAATCAGTGATATGTTTCTCACAACACACAGTATGCTGATAAATACTTCACCTTGAGCTCTTCAATGCATTCTATCAGTAAATTGGTTCCATAATTTTCTTGCTTCTCCACTTCATATGTGTTTGGTCTTAAACAAATCAATACTTAAAAAAAAGGATACTCAAAATGTAGGTCACTTTAAGAAGGTATCTGAGAAAATTTCTTAAATAAGGATTCATAACTAACATAATTTGTTCTCGAGGACAAAGGAAGAAAATAAGCAAGAAAATTTAAGAAAATGATACCTCGCTCAGTCCTTGAGCAGCTCCAGACCGCTCAACGTTACTGCCATCAGATTTCAGGGTATCCAACAACCAAGAAACCAGGTCAGGAAAGTTCTCTTCTCCCATCCCCTTTATTAGAGAACCAAGGGCTCTGGCAGCTACGGTACGAACCTCCGGAATTGGATCCACAAGAACCTGTTTTATTTGAAATAGATAAAACATCCAAAATTCATCATTCAACCACATTATTAGGCTTGTCAAGTGAAAAGGTACCTTTTTCACTTCAGGAAGAAGCAATCCTATATAAGGAATCATGTCCTTTGGTTCTGTCACTAGTGAACACATATTACCAACTATTTGTGCAGCCTTTTTCTTAGTTTCAGCACTCCTTTCTCTTAGCCCTCTATGTACAATTGGTACCAGCAAAGCAAGTGAAGGAGCATCAATAGAATTAACAAACGTTGTCTGCAAAAAATATATAATTACTTGAAGTAAGTTTGCGAAAGATTATGCATTGAGGCCAAACGAGAATCTATATTTTGAGATCTTTACTTGCAGGAGAATATCAAGGGAGTATTTTGTATATTCATTTGGATCTGTGAGACCCATCAGCAGAGTTGGAACAAGCGCTGATATTTCAGGATTCTTAATCACACTTCCAACCTGAAAAAAAAAAATGGAAACATTAGTACTGCAAAAAAGGTGCTAAAACTCCAATAAGACAGCACATCAGTACAATTTTAAAACTTTTTCACTCTTTTTCTTTTTGACATTTACAAAGTAAAAGAACGATTACCTGCTGAAGGGCTGTCTGCCCAGCAGACTGAACCTTTGGATGAGTATCTGTTAGAACCTGCGAAAACATTCATGGAGCAGCTTAATATCAAATACACATATTACTTGCTCCAAGGAATTCAGTTACCACTTTATGAATGAAAATATGGGAATCAAGTATGCAGCATAACAAACCTCTGTTAATTTAGGAACAATCTTAGGGAGACACTGAGACAGTTGTTGTGGAGCACAGTACGCCATAGCTCCAAGTAGCTGCACACTACTTTGCTTTGTTCTCCAAGCTTTATCTTCAAGTCCCTGACATAAAAATGCAATTGGCACACAATTTTGGAAACTATACAATACCAATGCAAAGATAGATTAGTATATCCACATCCGACCACCCTTGAGATCATTTATTATTCAGAACATATATTTGTAAGGATCATCACTTCCTTCAATGAAACATATTAAAGCAATTAGAACTTCAACAATCTGTTGGGCCAGTTATATGGAACACAGGAAGTTGAAATGTTCCAACTCCTTAGCACCAAGCAGAGCTGACCGCAAGAAAACTTTAACAAGTTGGAGAGATGTATGTGTGTCACCAGCTAGCATATGAAGGTTATTAATCATGTGAATAACAAATGGCACTGTGTTCTTTTAAAGCACGGTGTGGTAGTCACTAAACTCCCTAGTCCCTATAATGACATTGACACAATATTTTCCATTATAGAGTGGAATTCCCATACTAACAACTGTATAAACACAATTTGCAACAAGCTTTGCACAAATTTAAAGCAACTGGAGCTCGATTTAATTAAATGAAGTTATCGATTAATTGAATGTAGCATAGAAACCTTTAACAGAGACGGAAGAACAAGTTTCACTCCATAAGCAGTGAGTTGAGACATCATTGCACGAGCAGCACACTCAGCAGCTTCTCGAACAGCCATAACTTGATCAGAGAAAGAAACTAGTAGTAGCGGTAACATTTGAATCACATACCTGTTTTAAAGAAAGTCAGTGCAATCACTCCCCAAGCAAAAAAGAACAAATATTAAAACTCTCTCTCTCTCTCTCTGCATGTTTCTGGGTCTCTTGCTCTCTTTGCATGCTAGTGCAGTATATATGACAGCCTCTCTCTTTCTCTCTCTCTCTGTGTCTGTGCAAAGTGTGGGTCTCTCACACTCTCTGTGCATGTGTGAGTGTAGATATGTCTGCCTGTGTCATCTTTCGGAAACATAGGGGTGTCAGATGGTATTCTCAGAGTGGAATTCAGTGACAGGTTCTGATTCATCACCATTCCACACTTACGGTTCAAAGAGCCTTCCAAGCTTGTCACAAAGGCACTCAAATGCCAGTAATGCTCCTTCACGGCTTTTAGCAGAGTTCCTGAAATTTCAAATAGATTCACATTTGATAGAAAATGTATTTGCAAAAAGAGACAGGAAAACAAGGCCAATTCATGAAAGCGAGAAGAACTCCCAAGTGGAGAAAAAGGTCAGCACTATGCACAGGAAGGCCCAGTAGCGGTATAAGGCCAAGAACCGGTACACACACACTAATTCTCACTTAGCAAGAAAACCTATATGAAGTGCAATGACAATCCAAATTACAGAAAGCTATAAAACAGAATGGTCGGCCATTATTCATATTGTTAAAAACAACATCAAACTGGAAACATACTGCATACCATACAGGCATTAACCAATCAGAAAAGCCCCAAAAAATAGCTCTTTAAATGTAGAGAAAATTTGAAAACCAAGAAGAAAAGAAAGACAACTGTAGAAGCAAAAAGATTAAACTGTTATACAACTTTTATTGTGTATTCTAATGATCTATAACAATTGTTATTTCAAGTGCAACTGGAAATGCCTCTGAAGTCAGTCAAAAAAGGCAGAAGATTTATAGATCATAGGAACTGGGCCAGAGGAGCAAGGTACCAAAGTTTTAGATAGAATGGTAATGCCTGTCGGACAAAAAGCACATTTCATCATATACATGCATGTTTTCTGCCAACAGTTTTTTGCTTTTAGACATACTGCTACAAGTTACAATTTGACAAGATAGGGCATCTAACATTACAACCAGAATACGTACAGAACCACTTGTTTTTGTCAAATACCTGTCTGCTAGACCTTCTCGCAAGACTGTCACAATGCCATACTTCTTCAGACTAGATATTCCAAATCCCTTTACTACACCAGCTAAGCCAAATGCTGCTCCACGGCGCTCCCCATATTTGTCACTCTTCATCAGCTGATCCAGAATCCTAGAAACTAGAGCTGGTGCATCTTCCTGAAGAAACAAATAACAGGGGGCAAGAGAGTTGCATTAAATGTAAATCACAGAAAAACATAAAAGAATCACAGATTCAGATCCTTCTAAAAGAATGTAGAACTAGTTCTTAGGCATTCTGAACACTCCAAATGGCACAAACTAGCCAAGGAAATCAATGCAGAAAAATTGTTAACTAATTTGCAAAACTGGATAGCAAAAATAAGTAATCTACACAGATACAGATAGGCTGATACTAACTACAACCTGAAATAACCCATAATTAATTGTGTTGCAATGCTACAATGCAATCCTGAAATTTAACTTGTACCCCAAGATGAAGCCTGTAAAATTGACCTTTAAAAACAGTAGCAGATTGTAAAAGGAGAGCTAGCATACAATTTAGGGCCTATGGATAACAGCATAAAATTTGTCATTTCACTTAAAAATTGAGACAATCCAACTGGCGAGATTCTGAAACAAACCTGCTTTGATTGCATCAGCGGAGACAGGCAGCTTGAAACTGCCCGCTGAACAGCTTCAGAAGGTGTGTTTAACACATCCAACAGCTTTTCTACAACAGTATGAACCTTAGGATCATCCTGTCCGGGAAAAGAAGTTAACACAGATAATTACTGTGAAAGATTTCCTCCGCCTGACTTCAGTTTAGCATAAAATAAATAAGTAAAGCACCTTTTCCAAATGCTTAGCCAAAGCTCCGGTAAATATAACCACACCTTCACGGACCAGGTCATACTTTTCTTCGTCTGATGCCTGAAGAACGAAACATAAACCAAGAAAATTAGGAAAGGAGATACATCCTATAAACATGGTAAACGTAAACCCAGAAAAAGAGGGTCATAATGGCATGATCCTTATACATGTAGGATCCTACAATATCACCACTTAAAGTTTGGAGAACAAGAGTAAAAAGTAAGCAACTAAATTAAAAAAATCAACCTTTTTATTCAAGTAATTCTCAAAAATGGGGAAGAGCAAGGACACATTATCCCTGCCATGCCTGTCAATAATCATGATACCAGCATTGATCATTCTTCCACGAACATCTGGATTACTGTCAGCCTGCAGTCAAAAGCAGCCCTCGTTATTATGCCACAATGCTATGCCAAAAATTTACTGTCATTCAGCAGTCAAAAGCAGAGGATAAAAATGTAGCCCTGGCACATGTAATGAAGACATGGTAAAGGAGCTATTCAAAGTCAATGGCAACAATAAAATACATGTGACATCCAATACAAACAGTCACCACGTAGATCCTCTCTAGAAAAACAATCAAGTATTTTGACAAAAAGGGACCTAAAGTAAGCAAGAAATTACCAGTGCTCGTGATATGAGGAATGTCATAACAACAGGAAGATCTTTGGTCCTAAGTACATCTGCCACCGAGTGCAGTGCCAATGCAATTCCTTGTCTACCAAGCCAGCCAGCATCTATGTTGTCCTCACCAAAGCCAACTTCACGTATATACAATGAAAATAAAGTGGACAGCGATTCCTGCAAGTATCTCTGATACGTAAGGATACTACATTTATCATCTGTAACAGGATCCAAAGAATTTCAAAGTCACCTGTATGGTATCAGGTTTTTCATCCAGAGCAGCAGCCAATGCTTCTGCAGCAGCCACTCTAACATTGTAGTTAACATGGGAAAGTGCTTTAAAGATCCCAGAATAATCAGCCCCAAATTCTTTTCCATAATTATCCCAGATACCCTCAGCAGCTTCTGCAACAGACTGAACAGGACAAAGCATTATTTTTTCCACATAAGCATAAAAAAGAGAAGAATGCCTTTTCCACCCCGGTTTAAACCGAAACTTATAATAAATAGATAAAAATTGCAAGCAACAGTAATATGCCAAAGAAGGGAAATAGATCAATCAGTAGCATCTAACAGATGTGAAACAAAGGATCGGCTAGTAGGGCAAACGCAACAACAAAACCACAAAAGCCTGATTCAGAAACCTTGATGAAACAACTTGAAAAGTAAGCTATTCAACCCATGCTACTCCATGCTAGTAATACCAGTTCTCTCATTTCTTTCATCATTCTTTTGCCTTCTCCCTATTCCCTCTCTCAGCAGAAGGGAATCAAGCAACATTCAAATCATTCATAAAGCAGAAACTACAATTGTTTTAAGAAGCAGCAGATATCCCAAAAAAAAAAAAAAAAAGATTTCAGTTCAAATTTGACATCACCTTTGAGGCCATGACAGAGAATATGCATGAAGTAAACCAACTAGCAGAGTAACAAGCATATAGCATTAAAAAAACACACATAGCGTTAAAGCTTCTCATCCAATTTCACGAGTACCAGGGCAGCTGAGGATTCTTCATGTCGACCAGCAGGCTACAAACGTAGTGGTTTCTCAAAGAAACAAAATGACACTTTTGTCATAAGAGGAGAAATATAAATAATCAGCTCACAAGATAAATGTCCTCAAGCATACAGACCAAGAAAAAAAATTAAACGATAGAACACAGCAAATGACACAAGGACTCGTATCAAATAATCATAAACCATGAACTAAGTTTAAATCAGATGCCCCAAAGAAAGTCAAATAGCAGTAACCTCACATTCAAAAAATGACTAGGTGAGTGAAATAATCGAAATCTAAAAAATATCTATGAAGCTGTACCAATTATGTAAAATGAAAAACAACCAGCCAAAAGTTAGAGTAAATGCTATACCTTTTCTGGATCATGCAAAGCAAGCCAGATGCTCGTTGCAACCTCAACACTTTCGGGAATGGAACAATTAGAGACAGCAGGAATGCATTTTACAGCATTTAAGCAAGCCATTCTTACATGAACTTCTTTGGCATAAATGCCATCCATGGCCTGCAAAAAACTCTCAATAAACAAAGAGATAAGGAGAGTTATCAAAACAAGCTACAGAAGAGCTGATGGACCAATTAACATACAGATGCAACTTCATGTGGATGTAGACCCAGACACAACTCATTCAATGCTGGCCCAACTGAAGCTTGATAAGCAGGAACAACACCAAGAACGTGATAAAGAACCTATCAAACACAACATGAGGACAGTTGGAAAAAAAATACGGGATAAGGGAAAAGGAAAAAACCATAGAGGCTTAAGGTAGGCTGCTGCATACTGATAACATTTGAACCCTAGGTAAGGGTAGAATAGGATCCATATGTAAGAACAATATCTGGAGAACATCATCATGTAGTCCAGTCCTCTTGGGAGATGACAGGATCTTTTCGATTATCTGCATCAAAGCAAAACCAATGCATTTACATGAACTATGGCAGCTAAAGAAAAAGGAAAAGAAAAAATATTTGAAAAAGCAAGAAACTTACTGGGAACACAAAAGTAAATGAATCCACTGGAAGAGGTCCAGATTTGCATGAAAGTGATAAGGCATTTCTAACTCGCTCAAAGAGACTCAAGGATGGCCTTTCACTGGGCTCCCCTTCACCAACAGGGGGAATTAAATCCCACACTGCATTAATGTCTTCAGTTGCAATTACCCGTAATGCAGTTGCAATTTCAAGTGCCCAGTTACATAAAGGAGCAGCAGAGCATTTAGAAAGCTGCACCATGGTCTCATAGGCAACTTCACCTACCACCGGTGAACGGAGTAATGGGTTAACAAACTTGACCTGAAACAGCATAAAACATACAATATCATCAACCCCAACCCCTATAAAAAAAGGTTCATCAATCCAAGAGGAAATATAAAGGACTTGTCTTTTTTTGAGAAGGCAAAACATTAAGGACTATCACTTTGAAGGATTCTAAGAGTAGAAGTGATCTCCTTTTCAATCAAAAGAGGACATTTCTACTCAACAGCGCATGGAACTAATAACATGATTAAAATAAGAAAACAGGAGACACCAAAATGCGCAATTTAGAGCTACAGATGATTTCAAACTTAGACCTATGACTAAAAAAGCATATCTCACTGATCTTGGTTTTCATATAGAGTTCCAAAGCTTCCCCTCCCCCCCCCAAAAAAAAAATCCACCCCTCCCCCTAGAAAAATAAAACCCCAAAAAAAATAAAGAAACAAATTGTAGTTATCAGTTTACAAGACCAGCACAAAGAAGAGAACAAAAGCATTCCATCACAGAATGCAAAAAGGACATTCAGAAACACATGCAATGAGAACCACCAGTCAATTAAAAAACAAATTGGAAAATAAAAAGTCATTAGTACAGAATAGACTAACCAAAGAAGAGAGCTGACTATGCGCAAAAATAGGATTAGCAACAGCCATCTCACCCATAGCCCTCAACATCAATGAAAGATTCTTTTGTATAAGCATCACCCTTTCACGTACAGATGCCTCCTCCCTGAGCTGCAAATCGCGTGCCTCTTCCTTTGCAGTCTTTGCCTTGTCTACAGATTAAATGATTTAGAAACATAGTTAGACCAACTTGGTCACCTTTCACCAACATGTAATGCCAAATAACAACACACAGCAGAACATTGACAGTGCCTGGTTTCTTCAGTGATTTGCCAGTATCCTTTTTCCCAACAAGATCTTTGTTAGAAGACTCCCTTCTTGCAGAATGATTAGATTTGACCTCACCCTGTATGTAACCCAAGCACTTTGACAAATGAATCTCGTCCAAAAATAACTCTAAATTCAATTCCAAAATGACAAAAACATCAAATGCCTCACCAAGTTATCATCATTCTCGTAAACTCGAAAACGACCTTTTGCCTGTCTTATATTCCTGGAAGCAACAGATTCTGCTACATAAACACCTTGCTCTGTGGAAAGCATACCTTCAGGAGTATGAAAGATCTGAAAACATGGTAAACAGTTCCAGAAAAACTTCAGAAGATAATCAGAAAGAAAGACAGTTCAAGTACAACAAATAGTCTGACAACAGACAACCATGGCCAACAAAATAATGTAAAAACTTAACCACTAGAAACTATCTGGCAGGTCCCATTACACTGGATTTTACCATACTTGATGACTTATTTCTCCATGTTTCAGCAGATACAAAGTCTTTCTTCAGAAAGCAACAAAAATCATGGGCATCCAATTACCAACTACAGTAATTAAGATAAAATTAGTGGCTCCTGAAGAAGAAATACAAGACAATGTAAAAATGCTTAAGAGAAAGCACCAGCATCTTTGGTCTCAAAAGTGCACATGATGCTGAGCCGAGCAAGTAAAATGTTTGACCAAGCAACCACATATTTTGCTGAGTGACATGTTTACAGAAGATCAGCAAAGAACAATACTCTCTAAGCATGCCCAGCTCCCATTACAACAATTCAAAATCAGTCAATCATATAAACGCAAAAAGATAAGGGGCCTGGGCCACTTGTAACAATGTAAAGCAGTGACAAGTACAAAGACAAACTATACTATACATGAAGAGAGGGCACCCTTTGGTCTGCAGTGTCTCTCCCTTTTAAGTTTCATTTTTAACCACCAATTTTAATTACTAAGGGTGAAAAAGAAAAGGAAACAAACTACCAACTAACACCCAGATAACTAGCCAGGGAAATTATAACTTACTGCTATATCAATACCCAAAAAAAAAAAAAAAATTAAAGACCCCTCAAAATTTAGACAATCCACTACAAACTACAGCCAAATAAAGATATTTTGAAAAACACATCGAGTGTGCCTAGATTCCATTCAATGGTGATAGCAGCGAAAAGGATTTAGTATGTTTGCCAATTGACCTCAGACTGCACCAGCTATAATGTTTTACACATTCAAGTGAACATAGATATCAGAAGCAGTGACACCAAGAAAAGACACCCACGAAAAGATGGTCATGGAAAATATTTTCCTAACACACCCACGGGCACGGTAAATATCTCATCCAGAAATGAAGGAGCACTTATACTGAAAATTAAGATACCATCATATCATGAAGTAGCTTTTAACAAACAAAGGAAACCAAGGTTTAATGCCAAAACATCCACCAAGAGAAACTATCAAGATAATGAAACATGTGCAACATTAGTGCTTGACAGAAAATTAAAATCATCTGAAGAAAAAATATCCTTAACTGAATTTCTGAAAAAAATATGTTCATTAGACTAGCTAGCTGTCTCAGAAAGTAACAGGTTTGAGAACAAGAATGTCATGCAGCTATCTTAATAAGTAAAAGCAGAAATAAAGTAAGGTAATGGACTCATGTTTCACCTGGATATCTTTTTCTGTAAGAGTATCATGTGCATAACGATCTGGGAGACTCTTTAAGTACTGCCAAAGAGAATTAATAAGTTGAGAGACTGTACAAACCAACATAAAATTGTTCAACCATTCAGTGCAAGGCATATATGAAATTAACCTTTTCAAACTCGGCATAAGCATGTCCAGGTATTATAGACATTAAAGTTGATAATGAGTACACAGCCGCATCTTGTTGAAGATGACAAGGACTCATCAATCCCCTTGAACCTAACAAACCCTACAATAAGAGAAGTCAGGTTTAATGGTGTAGCCTTTGCAGTAATTAATGAGTGATTTATAGATCCATATTATGTCATTAGCACTTCCAATTAATGGCATCTTCGACCCAAAACAAATCAAACAGTAAAGGCTGGATCCGCCAAGAAACGAAACCAATATCAAAACAATGGTTTGAAGATGGTTTACAACTGATTTTCGTTTCAACCAAAAAAATTTGAAAAGCATAAGATTGATCCTCCACGAAAAGAAGGGCAAACAATTAGAAGATATTCTTTAATTGCTTCATAGCAAAAGAAGGTAATTTTTTTGTAAGGACTTGCCGCTTTGCCGTGGTAGACAAAGGATTTCAAGAGTAGAGGCACAAGAGATAAACCATATTGGCCATCTAATGAGCAAAGATTGTATAATTGCTTGCTACTAAAGACAAAAAGGTTTCCTTGACAAATGACTTCACAAGATTATGCACTATTATTGGAAAAACCCAGTAAAAAACGTGACAGTGAAAATTTTTTTTGTAAAACCTCCATTATTTATTTGTCAACCAATAATAAATCGTTCTGCACAATTGAAATCCACAAATATCTCCCAAAATGACGAGACAATGATGGATACGTCTTGTACCAAGAATTTTTTATCATGGATGCAGTCAAATTTGAAGGGAAAAAATTTCTGTAGGTTGCTTGCATATGCGATGCAAGAAAGAAAAAAAAAACCATTTGTTCTAAAGCTCCATTAAACACTGTAATTCCTAAACACATAAGGACCACAGAAATAGCATGTTAACTACTTTTCACCTTGCACAAATTAACCACATTGGCCGCAACAAGTTCAATGACATCAAAACCATGCAGCTGCAAAAATTTCTGCAGCCTCTGCAAAAAGAAAAAAGGGTATGCCACAACATTAGCATTCATCTAGGGGAAGCCAAAAGCAAAGCAGGTCAACAACAGTCACAAGACACCATCAATTAGCACATTAAATCTTGAATAACCTTCCAAAAATTTTTGGTATGTGCAATCTACTAATAGTAAAGAATACCACCATCAGTAGAAACAGCATCAATATCACCAAAAATGTTTAAACTTAAGAGATCCAATCCAATCCAATCATCCCAAAAAGACCAATAAGACTATAGGCAACATTGTATTCTTCTGATCAGTGAGAAAATTCTTACTGATTTGAGTACTGACACATCATATTCAGCAGAAAAATCAATTGCTCATTATTGTTTCTAATCATCAGCATTTCCTAGCTTCAACAAACCAGAATGCAAGTATAATTGAGACTAAATAAGATTCTATTGACTTATGCTGACTCATACCATCAATACCAAGCTTCAAAGAGAATCATTTAGGGACCACACCCAATACCACCCAAGCCCAACCCAAAATATAGGCACGTGGCTCAATTTCTAGCCACAGCAAACAACAACAAACAGGCTCTAAACAGTCAAAGATGCATCCTCTTGGGTATTAATTCCACTTGTAGCAAAACAAGTCATTAGACTTGAAAGCCGTAATAGCTAGAGAACAAATAGTTTAGCAGGTTTTCTATATCTTATCTTATACATTAATAAGTTTCAAAAGGAGAGGTTGAACAATTACCTTCCAGACTATATTTTTTTTCGATGTGCCAATAAGGAATGGATGATGTGAGCAGCAGAGTAGTTCGACAGAAATACATTTGGAAGCTGCCAAAACGGAAGATCCAATTACAAGCAAAGCCTTCACCAAAAGCTCCACAGGCGGGATGAAGGGCACTTGAGGATCCAACAAATTTTCAGAGTCACTGCAAGCCAAACAATAAAATAAATAAAAAGAACAAAAAAGAATAAGTAAATTATGTACAAGGGTAAGTACAAGATCAGAATAATCAACTAAATTCCAACTGCTGCACTGAAGTTTAAGCCAAAAGACAAACTGACATACAAGAATCTATCTTACAGGCAAAAATATAGTAGGAAAAATGGTGCACAGGATTTTGGAGGCCATTCCTTGAGGGAAACAAAACCACAACATAGTTAATATTATTACATGGCCCCTCAAACACCTCTGGTACAAGGAACATGGTCCAGTACCCAGCCAAGTCCATTCATAGACATGCCCAGAACTCCAACATCAATTTTGAACCAAAACTGCACAATTAGTTAACTCATCCGCACTCCAGCATGAAAATACATGCTTACTAAGCTGCATCTGCTCCAAAATATCTCACAATCAAACAGCATCACTTTGACCAACAAATCACCACTACCACAACCTTTTGAACTGTAACTATAATACCACTTCTACCAGATCCTTAAAGTATAACATCAAGATTCACATGAACTATAGGCAATCAAGGACAATTTGCAGTTTACTTCATAATATATTAAATCCTAAAGCACCCAGAGATGAAGAAATCATAATAAAAAAAATTAAAATTGGCTTTAGCCAGACAAGTTAAAGCAGAACAACTTCCAAGGCATCCAAACTGCATAACATATGGGGACCTATTTACGCAACAAGATGGTTATCTTGGATAATTCATCCACAGTTACTAAACTAAATAATTGGAAATTTAATGAAAAAATTATTAGCATATAAATAGCAAACATGAGGACAAAATTCATCTAGATCAAAGCGTTTTCTAGGCTACACTTGTCTACAAAATTACTGTAAAGTGGTCATTGCTCATTAGAAAGTCTTAAAAAGCACCCAAATCAAGAAGAACGCTATATAAGTTAGTCTAATTATTGGGGGAAAGAAAAACAGATCTTTCTCTATATTTACATTCTTAGATCTTGATCAACCTATGAAACAAAAGACAGACTGCATTCATCCAATTTTTCGTGCATAAAATTGCTCTCTCAAATAGAATCCCAGTGTTCCAGGTGGGAAGGCTTAATACTGGTTACAGATGTCGTAGCAATTAACGTCTGGTTTTAGAAAGATTAAGCCAGGTAAAATCTTAAGGCAATTTCCGAGGTTATGGCCTCTAGAAGGGCAGAATATTGGATATTCAAACATAAATTTATACCCATAGAGTTGAATTGGGATAGCCATATTTCTTTCTACAATTCACCTGTTGGGGAATGGTATTTCTTCCAAATTATCTCACTAACTGTATCCTAGAAGATTTCTTATCATCTTGATTGCATCTTGTCATTCAATAAAAGTTTCTTTTTGGGATTATATACATCAACGAACCTTCAATTAATTTTTCATCAAATAAGGCAAATGCAAAAACAAGAATTACCAAAAATCTGAAAATTGGTCCAGTATTACCTCTCATATTGCTTGAAACACAGAAAAACCACCGTAACATAATATCTGTCATCTTTTGCAGTCAAATTATAGGTGCTCCAAGAGTGCAAGAAAAAGAGTTTCTTGCCTAATGCAGTTTAGTTGTGCTTCTAATAAGGCATCGTGGGACCAATAAAGAATACCATTTTTGGAGTTAATTATTTTCAAGGAAAAAGAAAGGGTATAAAACACTAAGAACCACTGAGACCTATGGTTAAAACTGGAACCTCCTGTCTTCTTTCCAAATAACAATAAACTTCCCCTTGGGTGTTGTGTTAATGCAGCACATACGTCCTTGCTACAGTTGAAAGCTATCTATATAGCCAAAAGTCTAATAATAACCTCTAATCAACCAAATAAACAATTCAAAGACAGGAACTTCTATTGACTGAACTACAAGGGTAAAATAATAGGAAAAATGCTCTTTTTAATCAATAAAACAAGGACACAACGTTAGTGCAATTTTTAGACAAGAATTTTGGGTACTGTGGTTGCGATAAAGTCACACAGCTCAAGAAGATCATATCCAAAAACAAAAAAGTTACACTAATAGAGAGAGAAAAGTTAAACAAAAAATTTTCTAGAAGTCCTAGAACCTATAACAAAAGATAAAACAGGAGAAAGAGAGAGTTCATCATATACACAAACTGACCTCATTTTCAGAAGAAGCACCTTTTCTCCAACAACTGAGAGATAATTTGAAAATTCAAGCAAAATTGGTTCAGATAATTGTGGAGCAGCAGCAAGGATTTTCTTCGTTGAATCATAAGCTGCTTTCCGAAAGTCCCAATTTGGATGACACAGCGAAAACAGCAGAAACTGTGTAGCAATAACAGATTAGCAAAAACTGGTTTAAAGGAAGAACACATGGAAAAAAAAAATGCAAAAAGCCCACTAACCTGCAATAATGCACTGACAGAAAAGTTCTCCAATACTCTAGAAAAAGGAAATATAAAGATCAAGTCACCACCAAAGGAAATGCCAGAAAAACATATTAAGTAAACATTAAAACCCATTTCAAAATTCAATAAAGAGCAAGTCAGAGTATAAGTGTCTATATAGTAAACACAAATAAACAAAACCGAAAAATTACAGCAGTCCAGATACACACTTTTTAACGTGCTATAGAAATTTTAGGAAGCAAATCACCAATGCATATAATAATCACTTTGACGTTAAAAGGAAAACTAACAAAAGTATTGCTTGATCAAGCTTTTAAGGACTAGGGATTAAATGGAAGATGTATAAGTTCAAGGTAACCTAACAAACAACAGGAATCAAATTAAACTGTTCTTTAAAATTAATGAAAAATAACGGAAAGAAATAAAGAATTGGCTAGCTTCTTTAAATGGTAAAATGAATTGACGATGCTACATTTAAAAATATAAGAGAACCAACCATATCTGATATCAATGATGGTACCACGATGTTACAATAATTAACAGCCTAATCACTTAAAAATTATTTAATCTGAGAGAGGAAAATGAGAGTCTGGTCAGTACCAAGCCACTAAGCCCTAGAGCCATGTCTGGACCAACACATATCCATTAAGTAATCACTAGGCCAGTGGGAACTCGGACAAGATGCAGCACCTTCAAGATTATGGAATAAGCTAGGAGGTAAATACAACCTTGAATAGGGCACAAAGCTCTTTATGTTTTGTTCTTCTGATTAACCCAGAAGCTGAAGCTTCTGACTCTTAATCTCAAAAAAACTCAATGCAGATGGAACTAAAATTTACACCTTCCATTAACTAACCGTTTAGATAAACCTTTTGTTAGACAAAAAGTACCATGTCATCAGGAAGCCCTATTCTATCCTTGGCATGCTCAAATACCGCAATTCATCCAACTTTAAAGAGGATAATAAGCAAATCAGATTTACAAATTTGGATATCCAACAGGTGTCAACAAAATTATGCGAACCAACATATGCTCCTTGGACGGGCACCATCTTTGTCTAGACCACACAGAAACACAAACCTATGAGGATGATCAACAAGCAGCACCTCAAAAAGGTCAAGACAAGCCATACAGTCATCAAGTGATACTTTTGCTGCCTACATAAAACAATGAAGCATGTTAAAGGGGCGGGGTGGAAACTCAAAGAAATTACACAGAAACAAGCAAAGACAGCTTACAAATGAGCATTCAACAGAAATAAAAGAACATTCTAAGCATTTCCCAGTCCTGAAGATCATGCCTGTTGTATGTTTTTCATTCTATTTGCACATCAGAATTAACTAATTCGCAAATTTGTGGCAAACATAGATCATTATAATATGAAGACTAAGAAGAACTCAAGTGCAAATTGGCCATCAAATTCAAGTAATTAATCAAAAGCTGATAATTATAACAAGTAAAAACATCAAATACAAAAGCATAAAATAAAAATCCACCAAGACTAAAGGGAAATATATAGATGTAAATCATAGACGACATTTACCAGAGAAAGTGGCACAATAGAAGGTTCATTCTGTGCTATCAAAGACCAAATCTTTTCCTTGGTTACCATCTCATCTGGAGAAAGGAGAAAAAAATTATATAATATGTCAGTTTACAACATTAAGAAAAATCAGCTTATGTATAGGAAAAATACTGAGGGTTTAAGGCTAATTAGAAAAATGAAAATCTACCAACAGGATATACCTGCTTTAACATCAAGAGAAACAATTTTTGCCATTAATAGCAATGCATAAATGCCATCCAAACGTTGAGCTGCTTTTGTAAAACCAGTTTTGACTAGTTGGATAAGAGGCACCAGCAAGGATGACATCTGCAAATACAAAACAAAAGTGCTAGCCAGATAATAAAAAGCAAGAGGACAGCATGATTAAAACACATAAGAACTCCAAATACAAACACCGTAAGTCTTCCCACCTGAATAACTGCATCATTGTTTTTCCATATAACTCGCAAACAACGAAGAAAACCCCTCCTTAGTGCTTCTTTCTCCTTGAGCCCAGAAGCAATAAATGAAACTACATCTTGCTGAATAGCAACTGCAGATCTTGCAGCCCAATAAGCTAAAGAAGATAAACAAGCCAGCTTAACCTCTTCATTCCCTGTTCAAACAGGAGGGATGGCAAAGAATTGAAAAAGAAATCAGTAGCCTATAAGCATACATAATCCCCCAAAAGAAACACAATGGGGACAAGTATGTGCTCACGCAGCCCAAGGATAATCAGAAGGATGTGGCTTACCATCATCCTTGTAACAAGACAAAAGGAAACTACATATAGTTGGTGTCAAGCTGCTGAGATATTTTCCTTCAGGAGCATTTGACAATTCTTGTAATGCATTAATCATGCCAACTCTCTGATATGGAAATGTTAATCTCCCTTCAGAACCTGTTCACGTCACATTAAATTATGAGATGGCCTGCAACCTTGCAGTTTTCATAACTCCATTAGGGCATGGCATCAAAAAGCAAAACTAAAATGATGGGGTGGCAACCCCTTTTCTATAATGTCTCCCAAACCTGACAAAGGATAATTAACCTATTACAGCAATGCCCAAAATCCAAGCCAATTAACTTACAATTCGGATCAGTGTGGATACCATGTTATTTTAGTTTATGCCATGTTTCACATATATAACAGCCTAGAGGCCCACTACCTCAACATTTTCATGGACATGAAAATGGGACTTCAACCGAAGTAACAAAAAAGCAGAGAGGCATACAACATCCCCTTCAAGTTTTGATCAAGTCCTAACTGTCCAGACCATTGTTCAGTTGTTTAACTTCTTTTATGATGTTCTCTTCTTCTTACTCATCTTACTCTGAGTGATGCGAATTAGTTTTTGGCTCAGGAGTTAACAGCTTCCAGCTTAACAGTTTAAGAGAAAAATACGATCTTGCAATAAAATGGCATTGTTCGTGGTATCTAAAAGATCGACATCAGACTGTTTAATTACCCATCAAAAACAAAAACAAAAACCAAAATAAAAAAAAATGCATGTTCTTGTTCAACAGAAAAGAAGTACAAACCTCCAATTACAGATCGCACAATAGTAAACATTGCCTCTACAGCATCTGGACTACTGGATTTCTGGCTCAAGCATGTTATTATGGCTAAGGCAGCAAGCCTTCTTGCTTCATCTGCATGTCTAGCTTGAATCAAAACCACTTGAAGGATTTCAGTTGCATACTTGCTTAAATCAAGGTTGGTCGATTGCAAAAGAACCCCAACCGACTCCAAAACAAGCTCAGGATTCCGCTTCAGCATTTTAACTGATGTGGGGATGACAACATTCTTAAAATCTTCATGGGACAACTTTGGGAACAAAGGAAGAAATGCTTCAATAAGGCCCTTCACTGGCTTCTCCTTTGCATTTAGAACAGCCTTAACATACATATCAAGAAAAGTTTCCTGCCAGATTTGTAAGCAACAGTGCAAGAAAAAGTTAAAAGATAAGATGCAGAGCTACATAAACTAATATGATCTCTCAAGGTCCAAATACCATCAATGACATTACAAGCTGATCAGTGATCAATAACCCTTACCCTCCAGTGATCAAATAGAACCAAATTTGCACTTGAATGCTCCAAAATCACCAATAGAAATTCAGGACATTCTTTATAAGAGATCCTTGAATTTTTTAGTTCCTCCATGTAGGTTGAATAAATGTCTGGTGACTGCAAAGTATGCATGTTTAGAAAAAGAACATTGCTTCAAATCACTTAACAATCTTATTGAATACCAGTATACAGTCACTTAAGATGATATACAGTCACTAAAGATGATACCTTAGAGAATAAATGCAAAAGTAATTGCTTGGATGCCCTTTTTACACGAAATGATCCCTGCATAGCAATATGAAATACTGATGCCTGCGCTTGAGCTACTCTGTGTAGTGCATTCTTTGATACTGAGGTAAACTGACTTTCTGTTAAGAGAAGGCAAGACCACTTGATAAGTCTATAGCAGACCACATGTGACTGGAATTTTGACTGCTTTTCCATTGTCTGCACTAGTGTTGCCGCAAAAATTTTCATAAATGCAACTTCATTTAAAACTTTTACAATCAGATTATCCACAGCTTTTCTCGACCCCCGATCATCATAAACGGACAATGTTCTAAATATTGTTTCTACCAAGAGGGATGTAAAATCAGTGGTCAAATCTGCATGATTCAAGAGTATATCCATCAATAAAATTAAGATGTGAGAATTATAAGCTGAAATAGGGAAAAGACACAGATTTAAATCACAATGGAAAAGAAAAAAGCTGGAATCTGGTAATCAGTGTCTGGCCAAAATAAACAAGCATCACAAACCGTATAAAGTGTATGTTCACAAAAACTTTTCCAGTACATTAATAGATATCAAAGCCACAAAGGCAGGCATATAGTGAAGGGCAATATATGCGGCTAGCACTCCTATGTTTCATGATAAGGCAAAAGTAAAATCATCTTGTGACCCCTAAATCACCTTCCCACTAGCTAAGCCATTATCAAGCCCAGATTCAACCATTCAAAAAAAGGACATGCCAAATTGACAAAGGGGAACAAAATGCAAATTGTCATTTTTTGAACCATAGACACAAAAATGAAATAAAAAGTCACTCTCTTGTAACTTAACTACCAACCACTTTCATCTCGTAGCAATTTGCAACGAGAAAAAGGAAACTAGCACCCTTTTATTATGCTATTGTCAGATAACAAGTTCATCACAAAGTGTGCTCTGTAAAGCATGTGTGTAACAGTGTATGCCTAAGATTGTACAGTATTTCCTGATGAGCTGCGCATATTAGAGGAACAGAAGGAAGAAATCAATATCCTAAACAGTGCCTCATAATGCATGTCAAAAACTGTTGATATCATGTGATCTTGATTCTTCCTTTTCCTTTATTATTTTCAGATTAAGTATCAATTACCCTGAATGAATCTAGAATATAAAGCTGAAAATTTTAGTGACTATCGGATATCCAGAGTTTGAACCTTTGCTTGGTGCTGTTTTGAGGTAATGTTACCACTGTCGATACTTAAGTCGTATTTAGCTACAATCTTCGTAGCTAGAATTACTTGAGATTTACAACACCAATTTTTGTGCTAAATATGCAGCCATCAAGCAGTCATATTTCAATAGTAAAGTGATCTCAAATATGTAACAACTGCTAACTCATCCAGCCAAATAAAAGATATCGTAGACAACCAATCTGTTAGGAAGATGGATCTGTTCTAAACTCATTTTCTGGACATGCTTTAGCTTCTGATTTCAGAAAATCTATTATGCAATGTTCTCAACTGCTTGTTTCTTTCAGCTTTTGGCATTTTAAAGCTATATATAATTAAAAAAATTAGAAGCTACAAGACATCTGCTTTTGGCTGAGAACGCCTTGGTCTAGTGGTCAAGGCTGAGAACCCAGGAATTAGAGGTATATATAATTAAAAAAAAAAGAGATACTTGCCTTTTGGATTCTGATTTTGGCTTTTAAAAAACCAGAATAAATTGAGAGCATGCCCTATATAGGATCCCCACAACATATGCAAGCAATCCATGGAGAAACCATCCTAGAAGTATCTCCTACACCTTAATTTACTTTTAAATCTCAAGCCTGCTAAATTTCTTTCATGGTATTGGAGTTAAATAATTAACCAGGCATTTGGTTGTGGGGAATCCCCCTCTACACTATGGGTTTTGAGCTTAGATGATGTTTGGCTGGTACCTATGGGTATGTATCTATTGGTATAGAAAATCCAAAAGTGGGTAATGCTTGTTCCCAAGCAAACTGGGCACTTTTACCCCATTTCTAAATTTTAAAACATGAAAAGCCAAAAACAATTAAAACAGAAAAAGGCATTAGAGACCCAGCAGCTTCTTCCTCTTTGCTTCATTCTTTCACCATGCCCTACTATTTTATGTATCTTGATTTGGTTGAAGGAGCAATTGTACTGCTGCAGTTGGTGGTGATGGTTGAAGTTTGACAAACTGAAAAAGAAAGGAAGGAGCTAACAAATGCTGTATTAATTGCAACATTGTTTACTCTTATTAGGGATGGGGATCAAGAACAAGTTGAGTTCCTGGAGCATAGTTGTTATATGTTTGCGTTTCTTGTCCAGATAAACTGATGCCATGATTTGCATTCACTTAGAGCCCCAAACTGGATGCAATCAGGAACTAAATCTAACTTCCCAAGAATCAAGTTCAAAAGCTCCTAGGGAAAATCTCCAGCGGTAGCACCAACTCTGATGGCGGTGATGAAGGTGCCGCCAAAGTTGGTAGTGGTGGTTGAAGGTTGAGAAACTGAGGAAGAAGAAAGAAAAAAAATGGAAGAAAAACAACTGAAAAGGTTTTGCTAAAACCCATCATCATGGAGTTATCATTGCCATTCTCTCACTTCTTTTATGATAGAGCACATTACCACTCTAGGAGCATATTTGCCTCGTGGGATTAGATGAGATTGGGCCACTAACATTGTCCTGAACCTTACATGGTTTGTTTAGGCATGAAATTAATACCCCACAATTAATTGCCTTCAGATGTGAACAAAGCGAATCAAGCTAACAAATGACAAATTTACAACCAAACGATAACTTTATTTTGACTTCCCTTAAAGACGATCTCAAAGATATTAGACCTCCATTCTTAAGATCGATAGTAAAACTTTAAATGAAAATCAAAGGAATGATAAGGAATAAATGATTCACAAAGGAAAAAGAATTTTGCACAATCCCACAAAATCTCTCCCACTTAATATATATGAACCAAATGGGCCCTATACTGAAATATTATAAGTCAACATTTGAATGTGAAATTATGAGTTTTTGTTTATTCATTATACTTTGAATCAGTTTTAAACACTATAGGTTCTAAAAAGTTGAAAACAAATAACACTTAACAAGGAACCGCAAAACTCTAGCACTAAATTGGTTTTAAGTCAGCCTTATGCATCTAGCAAGAACTTAGCAAGCTATAGCACAATGCCCATAAATCTAAAGTACAAAATCCAATAGGATATTTATTGCAACTTTTTACACTGATTTTTTCTAACTATTTTGTGCATTGAGAGAGAAAAACACTAGTACATTTCAACTGTACATACTTTAACACCTAATTATTACTTTACCAAAAAAAAGAAAAATCACAGCAAGTGGAACAAATATGATCAAAACAGACAAAAGCACGCTCATCACAGGGCTTTCTACTTGTCCAGCAAAAACTACAAGGTGATTTTGATAGTTAACACTCCAATAATACAAAAGAGAGATATGATTATCCACTAAATAAAGGAGTTTAGAATGCTTAAAGTTTCAATCTGCAATATCCTCACAATTATCCTGCCAAGTCTCATTCCCCAAAAACCAATATTTGGTTCTAAAGGCATTTTTCTCTCAAGCCAAGGAAAGTTATCAATAGCTAATGAAATTTCTCAAACAATAAATCTTCAAGTGTCCCATTGATTTGTCTCACCTATAACCAATTTCATCAATCATTACGCATTTTCAGCTTCTTCAACTTAATAGAGCCCCTTGAACAAAGAGTAATAGGGCAATGCCAAACTAAACAGCGCCAATTGATAGAGTACCCTAATTACATGTCATACCTAGTGACTAATTGTGTCTAGAGAAGATTGCCAATAAAGGATCACAGGTCGCAAAAGACCTAAGAAAGCTTACATTTTCTAAATGAAGCAAGAACAACGTTGGCAGCAAACTAGCAATCATATCCATGGAATAAACTACCAAGAAATCAAGGCGAGTTCTAAAAGTGAGATCATTTGAAAAGAAAAACTTTTCCATTATTCCTAAACACATTTTGCAACCACATTTATCTTTCTAGACACATCATCACATCAAAAATATTGCTACAGTGAATGATACAAAAGTTTTCCAAACAAACTTCATCCAAAAAAAATATGGTTCTCCTGTTAAGCTATCAGCTACATTGTCCCACTTCTACTCCATAATATCCGAACGTTTAGAAGTCTCCACACACACTTCAGGCTCTTCATAATACTGGCCAAATATCCAAATAAACTATGGCCTTGCTTTTAAACAAGAACTAAATGCAAACTATGAGAAAGATATTGCAATTCACCGTCCAAATAACAATTTTTCCGATGGTCCAAACAAACCATGCATTATGCAAAACATTACTACTCCTATAAAACAGCAATTCAATAAGCAATGGTAATATATATATATATGATAAATATACGTAAACATGACCTGAATAACTAGGAATGTTAGTAAGAAGGAATGGAATTTCATTGCTGAAGATTTGGATTCGCCGTTTAGTGGATGGCGTAGAGATCGACGCGGCAATAGACACCAGTGAGTCCATTGGATTGGCAGCTTCCATCGGAACTGAGTCCTAGAAATTTGAGATTCAATCTTGATTTAAAAAAAAAAAAAAAAAACAGAGCTACTGAATCTTTTATTGTCAATAATGATGATGATGATGGAGCTGAGACGCCGGCGGCGAATTGTGGTGGCTCGTTGCCGCCTTGCGTCGGATAAGTTAATGATGATGAAGTGTGGTGAGTGATGAAAATGGCGTCGTCCTTAGGGTTTTAGGTAGTATAGCATACAGTAGAGAGGACTGAGCAGAGCATGCGCAAGCTTTTAAAGGTGATGCGCTAATGTGGTGTGTCATCTGCCCCTTCTCCCTTTCATTGCTCTTTCTATTTCTTTTTCTTTTTTCTTTCTTTTCTGCTCTTCATTTTGTTTCTTTCTGAATTAATTTCTCTAAAGTTCAAAATGAATCAAACTACTTGTCGATTTGGTAAAAATTTATTTGAATTTGATTGTCATCTAATCAAACCAAATTTAAAGTTTGAACAACATTTTATATTTAATAAAATTTAATCTCAAATTTGACTAAAATCTCTTTTAATTTCAATTCGACAAAGAATTAAACAAATCCGAACGTTAATGTATTCGTCGTGTTTGCCTTAATTGGATTCGTTCACACTCCTATAAGTAATTAATTGTTATCACCCCTAATTAATATACCAATCTAAAACATACAATAGTGCTTGGATAGCAAATTTTTTTAATCTCCTATCCAAAATATTTTATAAAATGTGAATTTCTATTTTCTAACTAATACATTTATTTGAATTTTGTATCGCAATCATTAAATGGCTGTACAAAATTTAAGGTACGACAATTTGATAGAAAATTATCACTTAGCTGGTCAAACTAGTACAGCTACATATTTTTGTTCGAAAAGTTACATTTGGATTTGGGTTTTCATTTGCCTAAAAGTGAAGGGTTATTGGTGGGGTCAGATGGAGGTTAGCAAATTTCTGCTCTTGTTCATAACTTATCAAGGTTACTAATTTTGCTCCAATCATGTCATGCATTAGGAATGTCAAAAAAATCAAGGATCAAAAAATCATCTACATCATCTAACTTCTAACTTTTATTTCCAAGAACGAAGTATAACAAAAAGTGCAAGAACCAAAGGATAATTTTCTCTCTTCCACTGCACAGGCAATATATTCACATCCGCTGAGCTAACAATAGCACCTATGCTTGATTTCATTTTCCAAAAATAATCCTTGGTACCAGCCTTTCTATTCATACGGAAATTCATCAAGTACAAATCCACAAACAACATGAAAAGAAATGAATCCTTTAAATCCATTTTTCCAAGTTATTTTGCAACCTCATCAGAAGAAGGGGCCTGAGTGACAAAATTCTTTATTTACAAAAGGTACTGAATGTAATGAAAATACTCAACGGCAATGCAAACACGGTGGAACTTGATTCAAGGGATCAGGTACTCAACCTATTACCGATAGAATAAATCCATTAGTCCGCGTATATTGTGCCAGTTCATTATATACAAAAGCGTCAAAATTGCGGATCCTCAGAATGCATTCAAGTCAAAAATGGGTCCAATCAATCTCTTTTATCCCTCCTGAAGAGTGCACCTTATAATGACAAAGGGATAATCCGACTGTACGAAAGGAAGATAAAAGATTATTACTACTGGGCTGCGTTATCAGAAGGAATGTCTTTCATTTGTCTTGTAGAAATAACCCTATCCAGGGTTTCATCTGGGACCTTAATTCCAGTGGTCTCCAAGTCTGCCACAATGGCAACAGCTGCGTCAAGTTCCCCGAGATCAAGACACAAGGAGATGATTTCATCATACAAGGGGCTGAAAAAAAAAAGCTGCAAGTTAAACATGAATACTGATATCTAATCCTCTACTAAAAAACTGGTAATTCACAGCCACATGGAGCACAAGAATAAGGCAAGTGAATGATAACAACATTCAGGCGACACATTCAGCTGAGAAGGCACAGGACATGACAGAGCAAACAATTTTGTTTGATCACGCTAGCAATACTCCATGGCTACTCAGTCCCTTTCACTTTTATCTGTAAGCTATAATATGGCTGCGCAGCATGATAAGATGCAGCTCATACTATCAGATCCTCAAATATGCAGTTCATGCTCTTTGGGCAGAAGTACTGGAGGAAGTAAAAATAGCAGCAGTTGGGTCACCAGCCAGAAGCATCAAGGGGAGGATGGATAAAGGAAATTGTAGCTGCTGATAACAGTTGATTTTTTTTGTTTTTTTGTAATCATTGCTAAGATGATAATCAGATGCTTGTTTGGGAGATAGTAGCTGTCAAGGGGAGGATGGCAAAGGAATTTGTAGCAACTGATAACAAATAGATGTTTCTAGTATCATTGCAAAGAAGATATCACGTGCTTGTTCAAAAGTTCCAGGTGTATCCAAAACCAATAGGTTATTTGTCATTTCAACGAGGCAATGAGCAGGTGAACAACATTTATCTAAACCAGTTTACCTGCCAAAAAAATAACCCAGGTTGTGTGTTGCCTGCAACATTTTCAAGAATGCTGAAGGCATGGGAGCTCGTATAGCAGCACGCAAGATCATAGCACAATCCCCGATAGTCGGTGTCCCACCCAGTTCTATAACCTGAAATACAAGTATTAACACGCTCATGCATCAGCAAAGTGGGAACAAACTGGAAAAGATAAATATAGCACGCACAGAGCACTGCTATATATCAAGTATTAATAATGGAACTTGAAAAGATGTATGGAAACAACCAACTTAACATGATATTTTTGGTTTCCATGACAGGACCCACACACACACAAAAACACGCACACAAGAACATCTCAAATTCTTTTAGTAATATTACAATGTTCACTACATTATGCATGGCCTTCTTTTTTTTTCTGATAAAAATTTTTAGATTGCCACGATCTAACAAAAGGAAATTGGCCTAGCACATGGCGAGCAAATAATCTTGGACACGAAGCATACTTTAGTCATTATTTTAACTGCCAATTCAACTTCCCACTCTTGTGACCATCTTCGAGGAGCTTTGTTCTTCAGTTCTTTTTCCCATGTCCAACCCCAAACATCAGCAATGGTATACATATCTGATACATCAAATACTCTCCTATTCCTCATCTCCTTAAATGCTTCATGTATGTCTAGAGGAAACCAGTCTTCATCGTCATCGTTCTGCATTCATAAAATACAGTTACTAAGGATCTTCAAATTTGAAGGCCAGAGTCTTGAGTAATCACACGATAACAAACAAACATCCTGATCTAGCAAATACTTTTCTTTTTACACATGAGTTTTTGGTTAAAAGCCACAAAAAACAAGAGTCATTCACAAGTTTCTTTGTGCAAACTTTCATTTTAGTCACTCTTCACTTTATTAATGACCTATGAATGGGAATTAGAATATTTTAGAATCGTAGTTAAAAGTCAAAGAAATGAGAAAAGCACTGAAGTTATTTATACCTCAACTGATACTCGAGAAGTCTTTCTCCTTGATTTTCTTGATGAGCTAGTTGTCTGATCTGAGTCTTTCAGCAATTGCACACCAATCATTTGAAGTGGTTTCACCACTTCAACTTCTTTTTCCTTCACTTGGTCAACCACTTCCTGGCTTTCACTTTGTTCCACTTCTTCCTCCTCATCATCTGCCTCATCATCTTCATTCTCTTTTGCAACATCATCAACAACATCGCCTTCATCCGCGACATCAATAATTTCTGAACTGTTCTCCTCCATGGACTTGATATGATTTTCGTTTAATCCCTCCCCAAGAAAACGACGCTTCCAGAATTCTGTATTACCTTCTTCCAACTTGATCCGTGAGATCAGCTTATCCAACTCTTCATCAACCTGTCAAATCACAGACTTTTAGTTCATTAACAAAGTATCACTGATTTAGCCGCTTTCAACAAACTCAATACTGATTTCTGCTACATACAAAGAGGGATACACGTATCAACATCACAAAAAGACGGATTCTAAAAACAGAATCAACTTAGTAAGATCAGATCACCTCTTCTTCTTCTTCTTCGACAGGAGGCACCCAAAGTGGTCGACCCCTAGAACGATTTATTCTTCTTGCTTTTTGTACACGCTGGTAGAGTACATTTCTAGTTCCATCAGTTGGCAGATCTTGTGCTTCAAGCTCTTCCTTTAGCTCTGATACTAACATTTTACTGGCTGCTTTTGGTTTCAAGGCATTTTGTTCAGGACCTTTAATAATTTTCTTCAGTCTCTCCTCAACTCTGATATATTCTGCTTCAGATACATTCCCTAACACTGCTGGTCCTTCATTGTGTAAGGTTTTTAAAAGTTTTCGATGATGGATCTTCCACTCCTCCAGACACCTTTGTTTGAAGGAGGTTTCCATAGGGTTTGAATAAATAAATCCGTCAGCATCAGGGTCCAAAGGAGTTTTCCCTCTTCGGGGGACCCATCGCTTCCGTTCACCTGTTAACCCACCTTCTGCAATATACCTGATTGCAAAGCCAACCTTATATAACCTCAACTAGAATAGGCAAGAGCCAAAGAAAGAACAACCACCCAAATAAATAAGGAAAAAGAAATAAATCCATTCGAAATCACAGTTGTTGGCAGAACAGGAATATCTTAACTCATAAAATTACCAAATAGGCATTTGGAAAATGTCACCAAATCATCCTCAAAAAGGAAGTGTCAATAGTTTGAAGATATATCTTTGGCCACAAAAGCACAATCTGGAGATTTCAAATTTTCAAAAATCATCTGAAACCAACTATGAAGATCGTCTCTGAAAAACGATGAAAGGATTTTTTTTTTGGCTTCAATTATGCATGTTTCACTGTGATGAACAACCAGTTTGAGATACAGATTTGCTTAAAAGTATCCACGATCAAAAGCAGACAAGGGCTGATGTGGCTAATTTGCATTAGAATCATTAAGAAAAGGATAAGATTATGAGTATTAAATAATCAGTACTACAGATTTCACTTTAATTTGCACTATATAGTATATGATATGAATTAAAAACAAAAGGAGCATTTCTTAAACTTTCAGGGTAAATTTTTGGTTCAAGAAAGCTCATTCAGATTGCACATTTGATGGCTGAAGGTTCTACAATAACACAAATATAATGATGAAAAGTACAAAATAACACACTCTCGCATCCCACCCAAAAAGGAGAAGATTAAAAGGAGCTCAGATTCTTAGTTTTAGCCACTTTTCCTTTTATTCATATTGTTGACCATGCATACATGTTTGACATAGTAATGTAATGGAAAAATCTCCCAGTAAATCAAGTAAGATGCTCCTGTTTAATAAAACAGATGATATTAGTAAATTATGTGACGAACATTAACTAGAATTCTGATTGCAAATGAGAGAGAGTACGTCCGCAACCAAAAGGTCAGTTGAAGGATTTCCTTGGTACATTCCCCACTTTGGGTCTGTCCCATATTGATGGCAGAATCATTATTAAATGTCAGAAAGATTTATAAAATTTATCACTGTCCTTATTGGATAGTCAACACAAAGTTGAAGAATTCTTTGACAAACTTCTTGTTTAGCTTAAACAGAACCAGAAGGCCTCAGGATTTACTATGATTCATTGCTCTCCCATCTCAAGGTCCAGCTATAAAAAGCCATACCCACTTGCAGAACTTCTGACTTCTGACACATGGAGCAGACACTATCACCTCTGAACTCAATCATTTACCATGACAGTAAATCTCAGAAGAAGCATATTTTTTAAGCTTCGTGAGTCACCAAATTGTCTCATGTACTTTTTTCTAACCCATCAACTGGTTGAGCTTAGGTTGCAATTGAAAGTATTGCTGACATTATCAGCCATGACTAATAAGAGATATGCCAAAATCGACACACAAAACAAAAAAAATCTACAGAATGCAATCATTTTGTCGTCCAATTCTGCAGTTAAGGATCTGTACGACTATACCAGTTCTCAAAAGCTATCAACAAAAATGAAACTACAGAAACTAAAGTCTAATTTAAAATAATTTTGCTACTTATCAAAAGTAAGCATTAAGTTGATATTTCACAGCAAAAAGAGTTGAAATCAAGAATGAGGGCAACATAGAATTGAGATCTTAAACTAAATTCTCTTGAAAGCTCAATAGGAATATTTTAGTGGAAAATATACCTCTAATCTTCTACATGAGCACAAAGACTGATGAAAAACAGTACAGAAATGTAAACCTGGCTATGTAATCAATCTCATATCCAAGTTCAGCTTCTTCTTGCAAAGGTTCAATCCACGAGCTAACTAGCGTGCGGTATTTTCTGCTCAGGATCATAGCCCTAGGTGGGATTGGCACGTTATCTTTTTCCATAGCTTCTAGGGCCTCTAGTAGCTCAACTATTCTTCCTGAAGTAAAAATAAAGTTACCGACTCAAATTTCTTAATTGAAGACCATGAGACATCATGATATTCAACAATATTTGGCTAAAAATAGACAAAAGTCTAAATGTGAGAAGGAACAAAGAACTCATCTTTCTTGAAGAGAGAGAATAGCAATATGAGATGGAAAAGAAGAAAGCAAACAAGAAAAACATGCCTTCTCTACATAAGGCTCGAAGATACAAAGATAGAGGATCCCCATAGTTGCCATCATTATGCAGAACTTTGGTTCCGCCTTCAAAGTTCTTGAGAGCACGAAAATGTCGAATTGCTTCTCGCACAACACAATATTTTGTAAAGCATTCAACCAACAACCTGAATAAGCGCTTATCATGTTACCAAACTATTATTGACAAAGTCATCTGCAATTCAGTTGGAGGGGTTATAGGAAGGCAGCCTACCTAACTTATAACCGATGCAATTGCAAATGAATCAAGTATCAATATTAATGTTGATATCCTAAAGTAATTATTTCTTGCATTATAAATGCACAAGTTATTTATCACTACAACCAAATCTGCCTATTAAATCCACTAGTGGTATCTTGCTACCTGCTTGCACTACATCATTTCAATAATTAGGGCACTAGCCAGAAAATTTTGATGTGGTAAGTATGAAAGTTGATCCATTAGCTCATAGGATTATGCTCATATTCATGTTGGGCAGCAAACTTCCTAGCATTAGCTAAATACACGCTCAAACACTACTTACAAGGCAATCAACATTTCACTAAATGGGTCTTAATTGCCTTTTATAAACCTGGAGCTGACTTGTCATTAGTTCACCTATTACCCTACGTTTATAACTCTTTCTATGCTTAAGTTCCAGTGTCATGCTCATCACACATCTCAAGTTCAATTTCAAGCAAACATCTTTTACTGCTATTGACACTGCAGTATAGGAAATTAAGTCCCGATCATAGAAGGTGATACTGGTTCATGATTATGAAGAGTACTAATTGGAAGAGTTCTCCAGAAAATTTATGCACATTATTGTTTTGCCACCTGCTACGAGCTCTTAAATAATCGATAAGAGAACATCAAAAAGATCTCCAAAGATTGTACTGATAGCAATATGGATGGGTCATTCCAATGAACAACAGTATCTCTACCCAATAGTAACAAGGATAAAAAAAAAAAAAGATTTTCTTACGCATAGGTTCTCACGTTGGGTTGTAAACGTTTGTGGTCCTCAACCATCATGCCAAGTAACTCTGCAACATCTTGTACCCTACATCCAAGGTCAAATTACAGTACCTTAATTCTACACTAATACAGGATAAAGAAAAGCTTCAGATATCTTTGATCACTAGAGTTTACCACAATTTTTCACTAACATGCAAAGTTCTCGTATGCATTCAGCTGGAAGAAAAAAGTGTGTGGCATGTGGGAAAAAAAAAAAACAAACATGCCAAGGATAAGGCTCAACAATTTGATCGTTAACTTCGAAATCCAAAGCAAAAGAGTATAGCACAAATATAGACTTGGCAGACAAAAGCATAAAAAATGCAAACGAGCTAGGCATCAGAACGATGATGCCAGATCTGGAAAAAGATCTTAATCACAAAAGCTCTGGGCCTTCCTCTATGTACAGATTTGATCATATTGGTAGTGAGTAGGCTTTTCACGGAGTGAAGGAAATTGAAACATGTTACACAAATATGGTTTTTCATGCTTCTATTTTTTATTTGAAGAATCTAAAAAGATGACAAAGGCACCCAGGCTGAAGGATGTCCATACGACTAAAGATTGTGGCAAACCCCACGTTGTAAGTGCAATAGTTTTAACGAACTGAAAATTATGCTCCAAAGCAACACAGGTAGAACAATTTACTAAATACAAGGTCATAGAACTTCTAAATACTAGACAATCATCAAACGATTCAAAGGAAATTGGTGCAGAAGACAAACCAGATGAATAAATCACCCAAAAAAAAGTAGTTCAGTCCTTTAGAAGTTACCTATCATAAGAGTCAGCTCTTGTATATGCTTGGATCACCCAATTATATGTTTCCGTATCAGGTTTCATGTAATCTGCCAACCAAAGGTAGAAAGTCATTCAACAAATGCTTTAGAATAATGAGAGAACTAGGATTGATAGTGACCAAGAAACACAGCCAGTGATTCCACTCAATTATGACAATCATATACAACTGCAGAAAGTTTTCACTTGCCCAACAACTGTACAGTCACACGTCAGAATAGAATACATCAAGAAAGTAGTTACTGACACCTTGTCCATTGACCCTTCGCAGGACAGGGGCCATGCCAGATGTTGATGATTGAATGCTTATTAGCCATCAGATCAAACTCACTCGAGAAATTTCGTCGAATCTTTTAACAGCAGTTACGGGTTAAGTTTTTACGACAAATTTAGGACCACAGTAAGGAAGGAAGAGGGTATGGGACCCACTCTCTAGCCATTTTCTAGGTCATATGATCTGGTACACTTCAAGACCACTAAAGCTTTGGAAGCCAGCTTTGCAGCAAAATTTCTTTACAAATCATAAATTTGTGTGGGAGAATACAAATAGGACTTACTCTGAGGTTTCAGAAACCTAAATTATCAAGCAAATGCTGAGCTTATATCCTACAACTAGATGAAAATTATTAAAGGGGGCTCAATTAGAAGAATAACTGTTTTCATAGCCACAAAAAGCTTATCTATAATAAAACTGATCTTTTTTATTTTTGGAAAGATGTCATTGTGAAGAACAAGGCACAGCAACAGTCAGGCTTTTACTCAGACATCTGCAGAAAGAAACTTGCAGATTTTTCATCAGGTGATTACAAACATTTACAACTGTTAAGAAGAGATGCTTATCATCTCTGTTGGAAAGCGAAATAGCAAGTCCAATTTCTGCTACACAACGAGAAGAACCCAGAAGAATACCTTTAATGCCTGAATTACCTAAAAATCATGCAGACGTACATAATATAACATGTAACAGAAGCAAAAAGTTCTGAACAACAAAAAATCATTGACAGCTAAAGAATCACAAGTGGAAAAGAATGATCTCATACAAATTTGACAAGGAAAGAAACAACAGACCTTCTCCATATTCCATATTCTCAAATGTAGAAAAAGCAATTTCAGGTATCCCACAGGTAGCCTAGCCAAAAAAAAATAAGGAATTTCACTTAAGTAGAATATTTGGAAACTTCCACAATATAACATGGAAAGAGAACTCTCTCCAATATTTTAAATCATGCACCCCAATTCAAGTGGAATATTTGGAAACTTCCACAGCATAAAATGGATAGAGAACTCTCTCCAATATTTTAAATCATCCACCCCAATTCAAGTTCAGTTCCTTGTGAAAAGACCAATAAGAGAAGCAAGACAAGACACAATGAAACATATTTTAGCTAAAGTAAGGAGTCTCTTCCTCAGCTAGAATTGGTGTCAGAGAAGAAGAAGCAATTGTAACTTGCAAGAACTTGAGATATTAAATTACAGAAAATGAGTCGTGAAAGTGATGCATCACAAAACAATCTTGAGATTCTATTACAAGAGAACCTAAAGGACAAAGAAAAAGGAATAATGTCCTCAATCATGACTGAGAATTTCAGATTGCAAAAATAAGTATCAGAAGCTGAACGGTGCCATTATGGTAGAGTACATCAAAAAACTTTAATGTCTCTAAACCAGGATATATAGGTAAAGAAAACTGAGTTAGTGGATGTTATTTCAGGAGATAAAAGTACTTCAGGATCAGCTATTACCTACAGTATGATGAGAACAATTACTGCAGACAAAGGCGGTTATGGAAGCAGGAAAGGACACAATAATTTTTAGAAGACTCTTGTAGAACTTTTCACTTGTAAAGAGAGATATACATTGGTACTCAAGGGTAATTATGATTTATTGGACTTAGATATCTGGTTAATTAGCTTTTATCAAATGGTGTTGAGTGGCTAACATCAACCAATGCAAGACAGAGATAACTCTTGAAAAAATTCCTAGTATCAATCAGTTTCTTTGTTTTCAAATTGCAGTTATATAACACTATGCACTGGAGGCACATATATTAAAAGTTGTCTATTAAATGAAACTCAAAGGTATAAAACTTTGTTGGTCTGAAAAAGTTTGACATCATCAAATTCCATTGTTACAACACTTATAACCTTTTGCACCGACAGCTACCTTAAAATCCACTTATTCACTTAAAACAATAACACCAGTAAGGTCACCACCAGCTTCAAATGACTTACCTGCACACTTAATAGACAATTGAAGTGGAAAGTGGTTGCCATTCTGCCAGCTGACTCCATTTCGTAGGCTATCGTCAGTGCATTTTCATGATCTCCAACTTTACAGTCTTCTTGGATTATGAGATCATATAGCTCATCAGTAGCTCTTAGCCCACCTTCTGCCCCCTTTAGGAAAACTTTGTTGGCATCTTCAAGATGATTGCTTCTAATGAGCTCCTCTGGTCCAAGGAACAGGACCAACTCAATTTAATAAACAAAGAAAGGAATGATTAAGAAATCATCAAACCGTATCACAGGCTTGAGTACACTATACCTACAAGCACTAGCCAGGCTTTCCTAATGTCAAAGTTCAATTTCTCCATGGCTGCCAGAATTTCTAAGCCTCTAGCAGATAAACCTTTTGAACCAAACAAACGAACTAAAGCGACAAAAGTTTCATGAAGAGGCCGTAGACCTTCACTCAACTCCCTTCTAAGAGCGTGCATCTGCAATGTAACAGCTATTTGATGAGTTACATCTTACCCTATACAGTATGCAGTTTGTGAACTTCACATAGGCATATAATATTACATGATGTGCATCTCCTCCTTATGAGTAAGCAACACACACCATTTTGCTAACACTAATGCCAAATGAGATGTTCCATGCAAGCCGATGAGAAAGTACATTGACATTAAACAAACCAATACAAGATAAACATGCCTAGATATAAATTTAACATTTGCATAACCATGAAGCATTGAAATTTTCTAGGCAATTAATCAATGAGAGAGTTGAACGAGTGCGCTTGTTCATTAACCAAATGGAACTTGCGATTTAGATGCAGAACAGCAATTAACACTAATGTACATGATACAAAACAGTCTTTAAAGTCGATCCGACAATCGTTTACTAATCTGTCACCTGAACCAAAAGGAGTCCCTCTTAGTTTCCCATAAACCAGTAATACCCACTCTTGAAGAGGTAAATATACTTGCTCTTTAATCTAATCAATTATCTCCAAAGACCCCAAAAATTTTCCCCCAGACAAGGCATCATCAATCTCCAATATTTCTTTTCGTTGACTTCTTCACACATCACACACACACACACACACATATATTATATATAATCGCCAAAAAAATAGCATAGTGTACCTAATGGGCAAGCTATAGTGAAGCAACACTTAAACGCAAAAACTCCAGCATCAACTAGGAAAATGCACGTGCAATAATATAACAAGAGCTATATATAAATATCAAAAGCAGGGTAATTACAGCGCCTTCTTCATCGCGGTTGAGGACATTAGAAACAATCAATCCATGAAAAGAGCGAGGTCCAGGACTAAGTCCAGCAGCAATCATATCATAAATAACATCAGAAACTCCAGAAACGTCGGCATTTCTAGCGCGTTCCATTAGTTCGTCCATGAACACCAGTCTGAGGACCTTCTCGGCACTGGACGCGATGGAAACTAGAGCTCCCGAGGAGCCATTCTCGTCTTCTCCTATGTATTGCTGCCGCCGCTGCTGCTGCTGCCTCTTTCTTCTCGTTCTTTTTGGTGATGATGACACCGAAGCAGACACGACGGAGGTTTTATGGGGAAGTGGAAATGGATTAGAAGAAGATTCATAGAAATTTGAAGGGAGGTGAGTCGGGAGGAGGAGGAGACTGGCCATTTGGCTCCCGGAGTGTTCAGGCTTGTGTTGGAGCAGGACTGGGGAGTGGATAAGGGTCCTTGGGTTGAGGGAGAGTTTTACTCTTTAGAAAAGGGAGGGAATAGAAATTATTTTAAGTTTGCTTTTAACTATTTAACCACACCTAGACATTATAATTATCAATATAAATTTATTTTATGAAAATTATTTAAAAGATTAAAGTTTACTTCAGTAATAAAAATTTTATTCAAAATATATGGCCATAGCTATTATGTATTTTTTGATTACATATACATTCGATATGCATTTTTTTTAGAACATTGGGTATGCGTTAAGCACTAGTATTGATAGTGTATACTAGGGGATAAACCCGCGCTTAGCGCGGGAGTGATAACCTGTGTGGTGAAATGAGTAAATTTATAAAAAATAAAATAAAATTATGAAGAAAGAGCACCATACTTTTATAAATAGCATAGTGCTATTATATGATGGTGGTATTTAATCGATATCAACTATTTTTCTAAACTAAATCTCTTGCATGAGATATACTTACCATTATTTTCATGATGGTTTGAAAAGCAGATCTAGTGATTTTTTCACCTTTTTATACTTATCATAAGTTTGACGTTATTTCTCATGGATTTTTTTTCTTTTTGTTCAATACATAATGATGCATATATCTTTTTTTCCTCTCTCATTTCAAAGTTAATTTTTAGCATTCAATTTATCGTTACATCTATCCATTATAAAATTTGATGCAATTAAGGTAACTTTTAAATCTGCTATCATAACTAAAACAACTACTTAATGGTCCTCTTATTATAAGTTTGACGTTATTTGTCATGGATTTTTTTCTTTTTGTTCAATAGATAATGATGCATATATCTTTTTTTCCTCTCTCATTTCAAAGTTAATTTTTAGCATTTAATTTATCGTTACATCTATCCATTCTAAAATTTGATGCAATTAAGGTAACTTTTAAATCTGCTATCATAACTAAAACAACTATCTAATAGTCCTGGAGTTTAAACAATCTCTAAGCAACAATAATTCCAATGAACAAATGCAAGGTCAAATAAATAGAGAGAAGCCAAACAAGCAAATCGCTAACTTTGTCAGCTGCACTAATCCAGTAATAACAATAACTAAGGGACAGGCATATAAGCCATATATATAAATCACAACATATGTATCTCATTAATCATCTTGTATGCAGCAAACGAGATATTAATATTCCGTACAATGAATAGAGAAACAACCATTTAACAAATAGTGAAATAGTCCCTGCTAAACTCATCTACTAAAGCTTAAATCTCAACACGGTTCAAGCCTTTTTGTGCAAGTGATATTTAAAGTTAAGTATATAGATGGACAAAAATTTCACCTTTTAAATGCTCAATTTGTAAACCAATGCAGAATTTTGTTTTTTCAAAATTTTTTATCTCAAATTCTTTCAAATATTCAACACTATTTTGAATCTTTTCAGGAGTTCCAATCAAATTTAGATTATCAACATATACAGCAATTATTACAAAATTTGACCCATTTTTCTTGATAAAAACACATGGACATATTGGATCATTGGTATAACCTTCTTTAATTAGACATTCATTGAAACGGTTATTCCACATACATCTAAATTGTTTGAACTCATACAAAGACCTTTGTAATTTAATAGAACAAATATCTTTAGAATTTGATTTGCATGCTTCCGTCATGTTGAATCTTTCGGGGATTCTCATATAAATATCATTTTCAAGATTTTCATATAAATATGCAGTAACGACATCTATTAGACGCATATCTAATTTTTCATGTACTGCAAAACTGACAAGATATCTAAATGTGATAGCATCCACTACAGGTAAATACGTTTCATTATAATCAAATCCAAACTTTTGTGAAAATCTTTTGATTACAAGTCTTGCTGTATATCTCACAATTTCATTTTTCTCACAAATATCCATACAATCTATTGGCTTACACCTTCAAGTGTTTGGACTACAAGTTCAAAAACTTTTTTCTTTTAACCAATAAATCCAATTCAGATTGGATCGCATTTTTTCGCTTTGACCAATCATTTTTATACCGACATTCATCAAGCGATTTAGATTCATGATTCTCATCAACTTCTATAATATCAAGTGTTACATTTCATTAGATTCTAATTAAATTTTCTATTATTTCATTCTATTTAGGAGTTGAGTCTTCAGGAGCGACCTCTTCAAGAGGTTAAATTTTATCATGACATTTATTTAATTTTCGGAGATATTTGAAATCAATTTATACCTTATTTAGGTAGGCCGGCCTTAAATTTATTTGCAGCACTTGTGCATGTCCTTCAGGAATATCAATTTTAACCAGAGTATTTCCTGCAAGAATAGTTGATTTTATGACTCTTTTGGAATCAATAAATATATTTGACAATTGATTTGCAACTTTCTACAAATGAAAATTTTCTTGAACTTCTAGTTCACATTATTTTGTATGAGGATCGAGAAAATTCAAATTTTCAGATGATTTTCCTTTTGATTGATCTTTTCCTCCCCCTAATGTCGGGAATTGTAACTCGTCAAAATAAATAAATCATTCAATAGATGACTCATCAATATTTTATAATATTTAATCGTAAAAGGTAGTTTGTGACAGCCCCACTTTCCCCTAGGGCGAACCAAAGGGGTTAGCGGACTGCCTGCCCAGCTCTCGCCAGGACTAACGATACAGACTAGAACTATCTATAGCGATCCGGAACTTACAAACGAGCGTAAACAGGTCAAAATGGTAAAATAACCCAAAATAAAAAAATGAAATCCGGAGTCGGCCATGAATAGTAACCGACCCGTCAGAACCCAACCGAAATAGCTAACAACCATTCACATCTGAACTTTAGCGTTTACAAATCAAAATGACATACAAAAGTTTTCAAAAGTTAATATATACACATGGTTTGCCAAATCAAAAGAGAAAACGCCCCCAAAAGTACACTTAGGGTTTTAAAACAGTGAGCTATACAAAAGATATGTCCAACTAGCTCAGTTCGGCAACCGATTATCAAATCCAGACCAAAAGTGTTTATTTTCCTGTAAGGAAAACAAAAGGAACAGAAAGGGGTGAGCTTGCGCTCAATGAGGTACCAAACAGATAGCATTAAAATCATGGCATTTCACGTTTAGCAAATCAAGTACACATGCCAGATATAAAGCAAAGGAACCAATGATTCAAATCAGAAGGATACGGGTGGCTCTCAGGAGCCAAGTTTCCAGCGCAGTACTTGATCTAAACCGGTTGACTCTCCGTCAACGTATAAAGAACCAACGCGTCCGTAGATCCCCCTTTACACCGAATTCCGTCCACCAAACACCCCTTTACCGGGCCCGCTCACCGTAACCGAACAGAAATGGTAATACTCGAGTATACCTGGAATCAAGGGTCTCAATACCCAAAATCCCCGAACAGACTACCGTGGTTCGTTATCTAATCGTCCAGGCCCTTGCCGGCCCGACTCGAATAACTTAGCCACAGGATTGAGCTCATAGGTCATAGAAATCCGAACAGATGCAGACATAGATAACAGATTCAAATTTTACATAGTAAATTGGCATATGATCAGACTAGAGAACGAGTGTGATAAAGTACACCCTCGTCTCGAACAAATAAACAGATTGCAGAGCAAAATCAAGTTAAACAACAATGAAGGGGAGTGGTACACTCACCGATTCAACTTCAAAAAGTTTCACTTCAGATTGGCCTTAATCGCCAAGAAACCCTAAAATAATCAAAATAAACCAATTGAAGGTTTTACTTCCAGAATCGAGTAAACAGAATGCACATGTGAGGCTTGACTACACGTCGTACGCCTTGCCAAATAAATACTAATGCAAGGGTGCAAAACATGATTTTCTTGGAAACGAAAAGGTAGCATGAAAACCTAGGCGCAAACAACCCAAAAGCCTTTCATTCTACCAAAAGGCAAACCTAACTTAAAGGAACCAAACGGCCTAGAAAATCGGGCAGCACTTCCCCTAAATCTCTTACTTTTCCAGCCATTAAGGCTACATTCTATCCTCAAATCAGTCCCAACATCTCACACAAAATTCATCTCATTTCCCAAAAGCCGTTCACTAGGCTCAAAGTGGTACAAGTACAAAAATTAACTAGGAAACAACCGAAATGAAAGCAAGCCCTAAAAGAGACTCGATAACGAGTCATAAACCAATGCCAACCACAACCCCAATAAGGTTTCATATGCATATATAAGCATTATAGGTAACCAGAAATTAAGAAATGGCTTTAACTTAGGCCTTAACAAAAAAACGTATTTGACCTCATAATGCGGTAATGACACCACTTTCACTACGGTTATCGAATGGGGTGCAAGACCCACCGTTTCGAAGCTATGAAACAGAGCTACAACAATGTAGAAGGTCGCTCAATCCAGTTCCTGGCCCAACTAGGTCAAAAATGCCAAACACTAAACCAGAATCACCAAAACATGTTTGCAAAACACAGAAAACTGTAATCGGTATATCTCAGTCCATACAAGTCCAAATGCCGAACTTCCAAAGGCATAAGTTACCTAAGACATCCAACTACATTTCATCAGAAGACACCAACTTCAAAATCCAAATCAAAACCAGTCAAAATGGCCAATTACTATCGCAGTTTTCGCATTCTGTCCAAAGCAGAACAGCTACAGTAATTTCGTCATAACTCATTCTACATTAATCCAAATGACCTGAAATTTTACAGGCACCTCCAACACATCAATACCTACAACTTTCATGTTTTAAGCAAAGTCTAATTCGGCCTCTAACCTAGTGATCTAAAACCGGACAGAATTGGGATTTTATGAACCCTAACTTTCCATTTTTCACACCAAATCCAAAATTGATTGCATTTAACCACAATTCACACTCACTAGAGTCATTTCCAACCATTACAATTCATCATACAAGCCCCCAACATCAAGATCATATTAAACCAGAAAAATTTCCAATAAAATAAAAACTTCACCAAAACAAGCCAAATCAAGAGATAAATCACATTTTCAAACACTCAAGCCACTTCTAAGCATCATA